GGTTTCTGGGGTCCCCGGGCAGGGGTCACCGGTTTCTGGGGTCCCCGGGCAGGGGGGCACCGGTTTATGGGGTCCCTGGGTAGGGGGTGCACCGGTCTTTGGGGTTCCCAGACTGAGCGTTACTCTGGTTTATGGAGTCATTGCTCGGGCCGTCTCCGGGTTATGGGGCTCACGGACTGGGGTCGCTGGGCAGGGGGTCACCATTTTATGGGCTTCCCGGGCAGGGGCTCACTGGTTTATGGGAGTCGCAGGTTGGGGGTCACTGGGAGGGGGATCACCAGTTTATGGGGTCAGTGAGAGGGGGATTACCAGTTTATGGGATCACTGGGCAGGGGGTCACTAGTTTATGGGGTTCCTGGACGGGGGGTCACTGGTTTATGGGATCTTCGGGCGGGGGTCACTGGCTTGTGGGGTTCCCGAGCAGGGGGTCTCCGGTCTATGGGGTCACTGGAGGGAGGCTCGGCGGGTTATGGGGTTCCCAGACTGGTGGTCACTTGTTTGTGGGGTTCCCAGACTGGGGGTCACTAGGCAGGAGTTCACTGGGTTATGGGGTTCCCAGACTGGGGGTCACTAGGCAGGGGTTCACCGGGTTATGGGGTTCCCAGACTGGGAGTCACCAGTTTATGGGGTTCCCAAACCGGGAGTCACTGGGCAGCGGGTTCCCAGGCTTGAGTGTTACTGGGAGGAGAGTTACCAGGAGAAGGGTGAGCAGTTTATTGGGTCACTGGAGGGGGGTCACCAGTTTATGGGGTTCCCGGGCAGGGGGGTCACTGGTTTATGGCGTTCCCAGGCAGAGGGGCCACTGGTTTATGGGGATCCCACACCGAGAGTCACTGGGCAGGGGGTTCCCTGGCTCAAGCATTACTGAGAGGGGAGTTACCGGGACAGGGGTGAGCAGTTTATGGGGTCCCTCGTTTGTGAGTTTCGCGGTCGGAGGTCATTGGGAGGGGGGCCACGATTCTGTGGGATCAGCGAGCGGGATTTTTCCCAGCCTAGCAGGGAAAATCCCCCGGGAAGGGGAAGGGGATTCGCGGGCTCTGGGGGTCGGCGGGTGGGGAGCGGCCGGGCTGCGGGCTCTGGGGCGGGCAGGGTCCCCGAGGGCCCTGACCCCCCCATTCCCATGGCTCCCAGTCTCCAACGAGGTGCCGGAGCACCCGTGCGTGTCGCCCGTGTCCAACCACGTGTACGAGCGGCGGCTGATCGAGAAGTACATCGCCGAGAACGGCACCGACCCCGTCAACAACCAGCCCCTGGCTGAGGAGCAGCTCATCGACATCAAAGGTGCCCCGGCAACACCAGCCCTGCCTGGGAATCGGGGCTGGGAGGGGATTTCCCGAGGGATGGGAGATCTGGCGAGGTGGGAGCGGTGTGAGATTGGAGCACAGGGATCCTGAGGACATGGATGACCTCTTTCCTTGCCGGTTGCCCAGCGTGGCTTGTGGGGCTGGGAGAGGTTTTCCTGAGGGGTGGGGGAATCTGGGGAGGTGGGAATGGAGCTGAGGACAGGAATGACCCCTTTCCTTGCCCGACCCAGTGCGGCTTGGGAGATAGGAAAAGGTTTTCCTGAGGGATGGGAGATTTGGTGAGATGAGGTTTGAGCACAGAGATCCAAATGGACTCTGAGGACAGAGATGACCCCTTTGCTTGCCCGTTGCCCAGTGTGGCTCGTGGGGCTGGGAAAGGTTTTCCTGAGGGATGGGGGTGTCTGGGGAGGTGGGAATGGAGCACAGGGGTCCAAAGAGACCCTGAGGACAGAGATGACCCCTTTGCTTGCCAGTTGCCCAGTGTGGCTCATGGGGTTGGGAAAGGTTTTCCTGAGGGATGGGGGAGTCTGGGGAGGTGGGAACGGAGCACAGGGATCCAAAGGGATCCTGAGGACACGGAGGACCCCTTTCCTTGCCAGTTGCCCACCCGATCCGCCCCAAGCCTCCCTCGGCCACCAGCATCCCGGCCATCCTGAAGGCACTGCAGGATGAGTGGGTAAGCCGTGGGTTCGTTCCCGGTGGGATGTGGGACGGGATGGTGCGTTCTCCCCGGCTGACCCCGGCGCGTCCCGCAGGACGCCGTGATGCTGCACAGCTACACGCTGCGGCAGCAGCTGCAGACCACGCGCCAGGAGCTGTCCCACGCCCTGTACCAGCACGACGCCGCCTGCCGCGTCATCGCCCGCCTCACCAAGGAGGTCACGGCCGCCAGGGAAGGTGAGCCCCCATCCCCTGGGAGGGTGGCACCCCGGGAAGGGGCACTGGGAATGGCTCCGTGCCCGCTCCCGCCCCAACTCGTGGTGTTCCCGCAGCTCTGGCCACCCTGAAGCCCCAGGCCGGGCTCATCGTGCCCCAGGCGGTGCCGTCGGCACAGCCCAACGTGGCGGTGAGTCCCTGCTCCCCGTCCTGGTCGTTCCTGGCCCTTTTCCTGCTTGTTCCCGCTGCCAAATCCCTCCTCTGGGTGTCCCCTTCCACCCCTGTTTCTGTGTCCCGCACAGGGCGCCGGGGAGGCCATGGATTTGGGAGAGCTGGCAGGAATGACCCCGGAGATCATCCAGAAGGTAAGGGCTGCTCTGTGTATCCTGTTCTCCCGTGGAATTCCTGACCTGTGCCAACCCTCCTCTTGTTTTCCAGCTCCAAGACAAGGCCACGGTGCTAACCACGGAGCGTAAGAAGGTGAGTGACCTCTTCCAAACATTCCATGGGGGCCGGGATATACTGTGCTCCAAGAGAGGCTGATGTTTATCCCTGTTTTCTAGAGGGGCAAGACCGTTCCCGAGGAGCTGGTGAAGCCGGAGGAGCTCAGCAAGTACCGGCAGGTCGCCTCCCACGTGGTGAGTGCCAGGATGGGAAAAGGCTGGAAAACCTGGAGCTGGGAATCCCTTGAGGTTTCTGGATTCCTTTTGGGAGTGTTTTCCTGCTTGTGGTATTAATTTGGGGGTCTCCTGCCTCGCACAGGGGCTGCACAGCGCCAGCATCCCGGGAATTCTGGCCTTGGATCTGTGTCCTTCCGACACCAACAAGATCCTCACCGGTAAGGCAGGAATGCGGCTGCCTGGGATGGGATCTCAGTGGTTTTGGGAATGCAGGATGGGACAACGGGGTGAAGGACTCCCTCCCCTCACAGCAAAGCTGCTGAGGGTGGGATTTCCCAGGAAAAGTGGGTGGATTTGGAGTTGTTGGCCCCACACTCCCATCCCAGCGCTTCCCGCTTGGTTTTCCAGGCGGGGCGGATAAAAATGTCATCGTGTTCGACAAGAGCTCGGAGCAGATCCTGGCCACGCTCAAGGGACACACCAAGAAGGTCACCAGCGTCGTCTTCCACCCATCCCAGGTGCCTGCAGCCTCTTCCCTCGCGGCCACAATTCCTCAAGTTTGCATTTCGGGACCCTTTTTCTGCGGAATCTCCAGCTGGGAGCTCTGGGGGAGGTGAATCCTGCCCCTGTTGACCTTCCCACGCGGTCCCTTTTTAGGAGTTGGTGTTCTCGGCTTCTCCCGACGCCACGATCCGGATCTGGTCCGTTCCCAACGCCTCCTGTGTCCAGGTGGTCCGTGCCCACGAGGGCGCCGTGACCGGGCTCAGCCTCCACGCCACCGGAGATTACCTGCTCAGCTCCTCGGATGACCAGGTGGGACACATCCCATCCCATCCCACGGATCCCACCCGTGCTTCCCACTCCTCTGGAGCCAACACTTCTCCTGTCTTTTTCCCAGTACTGGGCTTTCTCAGATATCCAGATGGGCCGTGTCCTCACCAAGGTGACGGATGAGAGCTCTGGCTGTGGTAAGGATTAGGGATGAGTATCCCCATCCCAGGGGTCTCTGGCCTCCTGGAGCTCTGGACAACTCGTTGGGGTGGGGGGTCTTGCTGTCCTTGAGTCTTCTCAATCCTCCTGATTATTCCCAACCCTGAGTGTCCCCGTGTCTCTGCAGCTCTCACCTGTGCTCAGTTCCACCCGGACGGGCTCATTTTTGGGACGGGAACGATGGATTCGCAAATCAAGATCTGGGATCTGAAGGTAGGGCTGGCCCTGATGGGAATGTGGGGGGAGTCCAAGGAGTGGGACTTTGGGGAATGTTTTAGGAAGTTTCCTCCAAAAATCCCCAGTTTCAGTGGTGGTACTGTAACCGTGGTTGGGGTTATCCCAAGGAGATCTGTCCATCCTGTTAACTCCAGAGCGGAACGATGGCACATTCCCGCACTGGGATTCCCTGTCTTACCCCCTCATCCCTAGGAACGCACCAACGTGGCCAACTTCCCCGGACACTCCGGACCCATCACCAGCATCGCCTTCTCCGAGAACGGATATTACCTGGCCACGGCCGCCGACGACTCCTCCGTCAAACTCTGGGATTTGCGGAAGCTCAAGAACTTCAAGACGCTGCAGCTGGACAACAACTTCGAGGTGTGTGTGTGTGTGTGTGGTAGCACCTTCCCCCCCCGAAATGGGGCCAGCATCCCAGAAACGCCTTGGGAGCTTTTCCAACGCCTCGTTCCGCTTCTCCTCCGCAGGTGAAATCCCTGATTTTCGACCAGAGCGGGACCTACCTGGCGCTGGGCGGGACCGACGTCCAGATCTACATCTGCAAGCAGTGGACGGAGATCCTGCACTTCACAGGTGAGGGATTGGGATGCTGGAGGTGGGCTGGGATCCATGGGAACCAGGGAGCCCTGACCTGGGAATGTTTTCCACCCCCCCCAGAGCACAGTGGCCTGACCACAGGAGTGGCCTTTGGCCACCACGCCAAGTTCATCGCGTCCACGGGGATGGACCGGAGCCTCAAGTTCTACAGCCTGTAATCCCGGGATCCTGCCGAGATTGGGGGTGGGAGGGGGGTGGGAATATCCGTATGGGATTATCCAAGTGGGAATACCCCGGTGGGATTATCGAGCTCTCCTGTCGTAGCTGTTAGTGCAAGGGGGAAGTCGGGCGTCGTCTTCCCTGCACTCCGTGAATTTGCTGTTTAGGTTTTTTTCCCCTAATTCATTGTGTTTTCCGCCTTTAGAATTGTTTTGTGCTTGTAACTGATGTGACCCCCCCCCCCTTCACCCCCCTTGTGGTCCTGGAATTTGGAAGCTGGGATGCGTGGAAGGAGGGAAGGAATGCGCAGATTTTTGTATGCAGTTACTTAGTTTCAGTATGGAAATAAAGGATTATTCCCTGTCATCCCATTGGGAAAGGGCTCCTGTAAAGGGTTTGGTGGGTAGCAGTGTACGATTTGGGGGGTTGGGGGTGTTTCCAGCTTGGGAACAGGGATAAAGGATCCACTTTCCTCCCACTCCCAGGATAAACCATCTCTAGAGCTGTGATTTGCACTGGTTTATTTTTCCAGCTTTCCCAGAGAAATCCAGTGGTGTTGTGTGGAGGCAGGAGCTGTGAAGAGGAGATGAGTTAGAGGGATGAAGGGTTGTTTTGGGATGAAGGGGTTTTCAGGGATCAGAGAGCACTCACCTCCTCACCCTCTCTTGGAAACCTTGGGAAAGACAAGGCATCCCTGGGATGTGACTGTTCCCATTCCATCGCCCGTCCTGCTGTTCCCCGGAGACCGACGCGCTCCTGGCGGGAACATAGCTTTGGGGTGGGAAAAGGGGGGCACACAGAGGGACCCCTAAATCTCGGGAAGCTCCTGGACTTACGTGAGGTTGCTCCCAGCTGGCAGGAGGGGCGGCACGGCTCTGGCTGGGCCAGGTGGCACACGGAGGCACTGCAGGAAATGTACACCTGGGAAACACAGGGGGGCCGGGATCAGCTGGAGACCCCCAGAAAGGGGCTCCAAGACTTGAAGAGACCCCTGGAAAGGGGCTCCAAGACTTGAAGAGACCCCCAAAAAACAGATTCAAGCTTTTGGGAAGCCCCATAAAGGGACTCTCAGCCTTGAGGAAGCACCAACAAGGGAAGTTCGGAGCTGGGATGGATTTGGGATGAGGGATTCCCAACACTGGGACACCCCAAATGCACAACCCACCTCTCCCTCCATCACGGCCATCCCGGGAGGCTCCACAAAGGTGAAGGTGGAGATGACAAACCGCTGGTAGTGGCTTGGGAACGGCAGCTCCGGAGAGGCCGGACCCACTGGCACCATCCGTGTCCGGTAATTATCCCCCTGGAAGGGACACCTGAACGGGCAACAAAGACCTTCCGTGGGCACCATCCATCCACCCTCACCTCCATCCCTCCATCCCACTCCACTCACCCGTCCACCAGGATGGGCCACTGGGGCTGGGAAGCGACGCTGGAGCCGGGAGAGGCCCAGCACTGGTGGAGCACCAGCACCAGGTTGGGATCCGTCTTCTGGAGCAGCCGGACTTCCACGAAAATGGGGTCCCGGAGCACCCTCACCAAGGGGAAGTCGCCCACAGGGTGGTAGGAGCTGTAGGATTCATCTGTGGGAATGTTGGGAGGGGTTGAGCGGGATGGGGATCGGGATTGGGAGTGGGGTGGGAAGCCGGGAATCGCTCACCAGTGGCAATCCGAAGCTGGAGCCCCAGAGGTCCTGGCATTGCCAACGGAGCGGCCGTGGGGGGGCACAGCCACCTCCATTCCCAAGGGAAGGAGGTCGCTGGCGTTGTAGATGCACCGAGCTTGGAGACTGGGAATGGGCAGAGGAAGTTGGAAGACTCCCAAATCCTCCATCCGCCCCTTCCGGCATCACCTCTCCCAGCCCAAACTTGGGGGGGGAAAGCTGTGAATTTGGCAGGAGCGAGCATTGGGTTGATCCCAGGATGGGAGGGCAGGATGGGCTTTCCAAAGAGGAATCCTGGCTCTATGTCCGGTTTTTCCCGCCTTTCCCTTACATGTAGACGCTGTCCCGGGTGACGAAGCCACGGGAGGATCCCTGGACATCGATGGTGGAGATCAACTGGTTCTCGTAGATCAGCCGGTCCTCGATCACCTGGAGGGGACATAGGAATAGGGAATTCCTGGGGGAATCCAGGGGGATCCTGGGGGATCCACGGATCAGGATCTGAGACAGGAGGCAGTGTGTGGGTGAGTTCTTTATACTGAATTGGGTTATGGAGTTGGGAGCATCCCAGGGGATAAATGGATCAGGGTTTGAGATAGGAGGGAGTGCAGGTGAGCTCTTTATCCTGAAGTGGGTTTTGGAGCTGGGAGCATCCTGGGGGATACGTGAATCGGGGTTTGAGGCATGAGGCTCTTTATCCTGAAGCGGGTTTTGGAGTTGGGAGCATCTTGGAGTTCAAATGGATCAGAGTTTGAGGCACGAGGCAGAGGATAGATGAATTCCTTATCCTGACATGGGTTTTAGAGAAAAACATGGAAACGTGGAGCTGTGAGCATTCCGGGGGATTCATGGATGAGGGTTTGAGGCATGAGGCAGAGCGTGGGTGAATTCTTTGTCCTGAAGTGGGTTATGGAGCTGGGAGCATCCAGAGGGATAAATGGATCTGGGACTGAGGCACGAGGCAGAGGCTGGGTGAGCTCTTTGTCCCGAGTGTTTCCCGTCCCTCTCTGATTCCCGGGGGCGCTCTGGGGGTCTCCCGGTACCTGCACAGTGGTCCCGCAGTGCGTGACCGGGAAGCGGAACATGACGGAGCTCTCGGTGACGCGGAAGGGCTCACATCCCGCCTGGCTCCCGGCCAGCCGGACGCTGTCCAGGTTGTAGGGCTGCACGGCCATTCCCCGCGGCACCACCAGGATAAACTGCCCCTCCCGCAGGCACTGCACGGTGGCTGCGGCACCACGGAGACATTCCATCACCCCCGGTGCTGTGGGGATTCCCGGGATACCCCTCCCCAAGTGCCCTACCCGTGTTCCCGTAGTAGCAGGGCGTGGCACGATCCGTGTCGTCGTAGCAGCATCCCGCCTGGACGCACCCATCCCGTCCCTGCGGAGCCACGCACGGCATCCGGCCCACCGGCACCTGGCACTGCTCCCGTGTCAGCTGCGTTCCTGAGGGTGGGAAGAGACGGGACGCTGCCCTCGGGAACTCCCCCGTCACAAAGTCCCCCTGACAAATCATGGAATTGTTGGGTTGGAAAAGCCCTGTAAGGTCACGGAGTCCAACTGTTCCCTCAGAAATGCCGAGGCTACCATGTCCCCAAGTGCCAGGGCCACGTGTTTTTGGGATGCTTCCAGACGTGCTGTCCAGGACTGCACAACCCTTACCATGGAAAATTTTCCCTGGTATCCAACCCAAACCTCCCCTGGCACAACTTGAGGCCAGTTCCTCTTATCCCAGCTCCTTATCCAGCCCTCAGATCCAGGGCTGCACCCCTTCATCCTGCTTTTGCGCCATACCTGCCCCTCCCGAAGGGTAGAAGAGTGCCGTGGGCTGGAGCGGATTGTGGATCCCGGGATGCAGCAATCCAGGCTGGAGTCCAGAGCTGATCAAACCCGGCCAGGATGAGAGTCCCGGGCGCACTAAAGCCGGACTGGGATGGCCGGGAGGGACCAGCCCAGTGTGGCTCGGGAGCCCAGTTTGGGAGCTGGAGAGAAAACTGGGCTGGGCCATTCCTGGCTGGTTTGGGAGCTGAGATCCTGGGCGCAGGAATCCTGCTGGAGGGTGAGCACCAGCAGGGGTCAAGCCAGGTGAGTTTTGGGATGCAGACCCTGGGCGAGGCCCTGGCTGGGTCTGACTCCCAGAAAGCACCTGACTGGGAGGATTTTGGAATACAAACCCTGGACGAAGGCCTGGTTGATTTTGACTCCCAGAATACACTGAACTGGGAGAATTTTGGGATACAAGCCCTGGGCGAAGGCCTGATGGGGTCTGACTCCCGGGATGCACCAGACTGGGAGAATTTTGGGATACAAGCCCTGGGCGAAGCCCTGGTTGAGTCTGACTCCCGAGATTCACTGAACTGGGAGAGTTTTGGGATACCAGCCCTGGGCGAAGCCCTGGCTGGGCCTGACTCCCAGAATTCACCAAACTGGGAGAGTTTTGGGATACAAACTCCGGGCGAAGGCCTGGCCAAGCTTGACCCCCGGGATGCCTCCAACTGGGAGGATTTTGGGATACAAGCCCTGGGCCAAGCCCTGGCTGAGTCTGACCCCCAGGGTGGTGGGGCAGCTGCACTCCTGGGCGGTTGAAGCCCCCCTGGATATTGGAGATGGGACGAATCCCAGTAGACTCAGATGGAAGCCCTGGGCGAACTGGGTTGGACTGGGGCGGAATCCCGGGAAGCACCAAGCTGGGCTCATTCTGTGCCACGAGCTGCTCCGAGTGGATGTGGGATGAGAGCTGGGATCCTGCCAGGGTGAGGGAGGACTGGGAGACATGGTGCTGGAGACCAGCGTGGGAGACCAGGATTCCGCTATCCCGGCCCCGCTCCGGGATGCCATCCGGGAGCGTCTCGTAGCCACCCGGCTTCGGGCAGGTGATGTTGACCTCAGAGGAGGTGAGCAGGATCCCGCTGGGAAGCAGCTCCTCCAGCTGCACCCTCAGGACGTAGCGGTTCTCCTGCAGTGGGATATGAGGGATAGTCACCTCCATCCCACCGGGAAGGGGCAGGGGAAGGGGTGGGAATGTCACCTGGAGCAGGACGTGGCAGCCCTTGTATCCGGAGAAGAAGACAACAGATCCATCCTCCCTGGAGTTGAGCCGGTGGAGGCAGATGGAGCAGTTGGCCACGTCAAAGCGGGTCCCGAACTCGTCTGGTGGGACACCATGGACACAGGGAAGTGACACAGCCGGGTGCTGGGATGCTCCTGAGGGTGGCGGACACACGGAAACCCCCCTGGCAGCACCTGCCCCTCATTCAATCCATTGGGTTTATCCCATGGAAAAACTTGGGTTTCAGGGATCCAGCACCCCAAGGAGGTCCAGGGGTTCTTCCCACACTCACCCAGGACCTTGAAGCGGACGGAGCGACCGTGGGACGGGAATACCAGGAGCTGCATTCCCAGCTCTCCGCAGGTGTAGCGGTGCCGCAGGAATGACACGGTGGCCCTGGGCCACAGGGCCAGGAGGAAGAGGAGCAGGAGGAAGGAGCAGCTCTGTCCCATGGTGGTGTGAGCCAGGCGGCACACAGGGCTTTCCCACAAGGATTTATATCCGGAGGGGATCAGCTGACCGGGTGGGATGAGCTCTGCCCGGGGCTCCTTGCTCCCGTGCCGACAGCAACCTCGGTGCCCTGGCCCCACGGTCACCTCCTGTGGCCGTGTCACGGTGACCCGGGACAAGCCGAGCTTATCCCACGCTTGGAAAGCTCTCCCGGTGGATGCCCAGCTCAATCCAGGAGGGAAGAAAAGGTGGCGTGTGCCCCGATTCCTGCTTGCCACAGGTAACATCTGGACATGCTGTTCCCGTGGGACTGGGATCCTGCACAGGGGCTGGGGGACACAGTGGCACAGCCCCGGTGGGCTCCGGGGCACTAGGACTGGGAATTTGTCTCCAAATCACTGCCACTGGCAGTGCCACAAGGAATGCAAAGTCCTCCGTGGAGCACTTTGTGTGTTCCCTCTGCCTCCCTTTCCAGAAGTTTCCCTTCTGGGATTTATCTTTACTGCAGATTAAACTAAGTCACCCTCTGGCCCTTCCCAGAGTGACAGGTACAGCCATTCCCTGTTCCCTGCCCTGGGGTGGGACTGGGACCATGCCAGCTCCCAGAGGCACTGGGATCCTGGTGGGAAGGTGTGTGGGACTGGGGGGGGCAGGATGTGATCCCCTAAAACCGCATGAGGAAGCCATGGCAGATATATATATGGCCGATATATGTTCTAGATGTGTCTGATACGTGTCCTATATTTATCCAATATATATCTGATAGATGTCCTATATACAACCAGTATATGTCTGACCTATGTCTGATACATGTTATATATATGTCCTGTATATATCCTATAGATGTCCTACATATATGTCCAATATGTTTGATATATGTCCTATATATACTCTCTATATATCCTATATGTGTCCTATATCTGTCCTATATATATGCGTGTGTACTATATCTATGTCCCATATATGTCCTAAATATATGTCCAATATATGCCCTATAGATGTTCTCTATATATCCTATATATATGTCCATATATATCCTATATATATCCTGTATATATACGTCCATCTGTGTCCTCTTCATATCCTATATATATGTCCATATGTATCCTATATATATCCTATATATATACATCTGTGTCCTCTTTATATTCTATATATATGTCCATATATATCCCATATATATCCTATATATATCTGTCCATCTGTGTCCTCTATATATCCTGCATATATGTCCTATACATGCCCTATATATGTCCTATAGATGTCCTATATATATATCCCATATATGTCCCGCACAGCTCCCCCAGAAGGACAACCAGGATCCAACAGGTGCCACTTTATTCCCCTCGGCGCCCATCCTGGTATTCCCGACCCCTTTCCCACTCCCTCACAGCTTCATGGTGGGGGTCGGGCCCAGCTGCTGCTCCAGGAACTGGACGATCTCGTGCCAGGAGTGTTCCTGGGCGCGGGCGTGGGGCTGGGGCTCCCCTCCCCACACCAAGGGCCGAGGGGTGCCGCGGATGCTGGAGATGCTGCACAGGGGGGAGCCGGGCGGCTCGATGAGGTGCCCGGCGCCGGGATACGACAGGATCCGCCCGCTCTCCGGCGGCATCCGCGCCAGGGCCAGCTCGGCAAAGAGCTTGCTGTTGAAGCTCCGGTCGGCCTCTCCCACCACGAACAGCACCTTCCCGCGGACGTTCTCCACTGGGATGGCCGAGGCGCGGTAGGCGGGGTCGCGGGGGTCGGCGAAGACGGCCGAGTTGTCCATGGCTCCCACCTCGGTGAGGAGGATGTGCTCCACGTGGTAGGGGATGGGCGGGATGCTCAGGTCCTTGTAGACCAGCGGGTTGCCGTGGAGAAAGGCCGTGCCGTTGATCCACACCGTGGCCACCACCTGCGGCAGGAAGCTGGCCATGGCCAGGGCCACCTCCGCGCCCTTGGAGACGCCCACCACACCCAGGCCGGGGCCTCGCACCTGGAGAGGGGGACACGGAGCCGGACGGGAGGTGGGTGGGATGGCACCAGGGTGTTCCCACCCTCACTAGGACGTTCCCGGTCGCCAGGATGTTCCTTGCTTGCCAGGACATCTCTGGGACATCACTGGAACATCTCCGGTCACTGGGACACCCCTGGGCACCGGCACAAGGATGTCTTCATGGGATGTCCCTGGTCCCCTAGACATCCCGCTCACTGGGATGCCCCCAGTCCCTGGGATATTCCCAGTGCTCAGGACAACCCTGGGGCATTGCTGGGACATCCCTGGTTGCTGGGACATTTCTGGGAAATCACTGGGATGGCCCTGGTCACTTGGGATGCCACCAGCCCCTGGGATATCCCTGGTGTTCAGCACAATCCTGGGACATCCCTGGTCACCTGGACATCCCTGGGACATCCGTGGTCACAGGGATGTCCTGCTCACCAGGATGCCCCCAGTCCCCAGGATATTCCTGGGACATCCCTGGTCATTTGGACATTGCACTCACCAGGATGTCCCCAGTCTCCAGGACGTTCCTGGCTCCCTAGACATCCCTGGGACATCCCTGGGATGTCCTCGGTCACATGGACATCTCACTCTCCAGGTTGCCCCAGGACATCCCGGTTCACAGATTCTCCTCTCCACGCTCCAGGACTCACCTTGGGATTCCGGAGGAGGAAATCCGCTGCCTCCTCGAAGTATTGCAGGTCGAGCTGGGCCAGGACTCGGGGCAGGTCATCGTAGGCGAAGAAGGCGAGGGCCAGCACGGCAAAGCCCCGGCTGGCCAGGAGTCCCGCCCGGAATTCAATCAGCCCCCCGGCGCCTCCAAACATGTCAATCACCCCCGGGAAGGGTCCTGGACCTGCGGGAAGATGGGGAATGTCAGGGATGAGGAGCCACCGTCCTGCATCCTCGGGATTACAAGGTTGGGCATCCTGAGATGCAAGGTTGGGTATCCCAGGAGTCCTGAGGTTTGGTGTCCTAGGGGTCACAAGTTTCAGTATCCCGGGTGTCACGAGGCTGGGCATTCCAGGGATCCCAAGACTGGGCATTCTGTGGGTCCCAAGGTGGGGTCCTGATGTTTGTTATCCCAGGGATCCCAAGGCTGGGTATCCCAGGGGTTCTGAGGTTTCATATCCCAGGGGTTCTGAGGTTGGGCATCCTGGGGGTCCCAATGTTTGTTATCGCAGGGGTGCCAATGCTGGACATCCTGGGGGTCCTGAGGTTTGGCAACCCAGGGATCCTAAGGTTTTGGCATCCTACAGGTCCTGAGAATGGGCATTCTGCGGGTCCTGAGGTTTGACATCCCAGGGGGTCCCAAGGTTTGGTTATCCCAGAGGTCCTGAGGTTTGGCATCCTGGTGGTCCTGATCTTTGTTATCTCAGGGGTCCCAAGGTTCAGTATCCCGGGGTTCCCAAGGCTGGGCATCCTGGGATCCCAAGGTTCAGTATCCTGGGGTCCCAAGGCTGGGTAACTGGGGGTCCTGATGTTTGATATCCCAGAGATCCCAAGGCTGGGCATCCCAAGGGTCCAGAGGTTGAGCATCTGGGGGTCCTGCTGTTTGTTATCCCAGGGTTCCCGAAGCCGTGCATCCCGGGCTTCCCGCTGCACGGTGCTCACCAGGAGGCAGGAACAGGGCCCCTCGGACCCTTCCCTCGCGGATGGGCACCCGCTGCACTCCGGGCCCCACGTACCACCGCTCGGCCTCGCACCATCCCAGCGGCTGCTCCTGTGGCTCCGGGCTCAGCTGGACCCCATCAAACACTTCCAGCCGCACCAGGAAGGGGCTCCCGGCCACGTCCCGCTTCACCAGCCGGCGGAAAAGCGTGTCGGGCTGCAGGAACCAGAAGAGCCCCATGGGCCACACGCCCGAGTAGCTGCCTCCCAGCGCGGCGTGGCTCCCGGGGTCCACCTCTCCCGATCCATCAGCACGGAAGAAGGCGCGGGACTGGAAGCGCTCGCCCTGCTCGTCCTTCAGCCACGCGCGCAGGGTGACGAGCTGGGACGGGGACAGGCCCCGCACCCGGAGCTGCACCGGCCGGTCGGCCAGCGAGGCCTGCGGCGTCACCGTCACCTCCACCATGCTGCACCTGGGAACGGGATCGGCCTGAGCGTCCCGCAGGGACTGCCGTGCCCAGGCAGGGGGCTGGCGGCTGGGAGTGTCCCCAGGGATCCTCCCGGGGCATAACGGGGTGACACGGTGAGGTAGGTTTGGGGTCTGGATAGTCCTGCTGGCATCCCTGCTTCCCTGTCCTCATCCCTCCCTCCTTGCTGATCCTCGTCCCTCCTTCCCCGTCCTCGTCCCCTCCCTCCCTGGATCTCATCCCCTCCCTCCCTGGATCCCATCCCCTCCTTCCCTGATCCCCGTCCCTCCTTCCCTGGTCCTTGTCCACTCCTCCTGGTCCACATCCCTCCCTCCCTAGTCCCAGTCCCCTCCTTCCCTGGTTCCTGTCCCCTCCCTCATCTCATCCCTCCTTCCCCAGTCCCTGTCCCCTCCTTCCACTTACCTCCCTAGTTTCCATCCCTCCTTCCCTTATCCCCACCCCCGGGCCCCCCGCCCCCCCCCCCCTCCAGCGCCCCTAAAACTTGCCCGGCAGCAGCACCACCCCTTTTCCATGTCTCCCAGCCCCGGCATTCCCAACACCCACCGTCCCCTCTCCTTCTCCTCCTCCTATGCCCCCCGGGGGCCGGAGCGGAGCGAGGCTCCAGCGGCTCCGAGCCCCCCCAATCCCGAATGCTCCCTGTTGCCTCTCCGGGAATGCGGAACAAGGGGGTTTGGCCCCAGTCCCGCCCTGGGAGGAGGCACCGTGTTCTCCCACATCCGTCCCACCAGGAAATCAGCCCCTCCAAGCCCCGAGGCCACGGGAAATGGCTCCCAGTTCCCCCCTCTCTTACCCCGCCGGGCAAAGGCTCTGCGGGCTCTGGAGAGCGAGAGGCCGGGATTGAGTATTCCTTGGAAATCATTAACCCGGGAAGCAGGAGAGCAGAGGGCTGCCCATGACCCCGTGCCGTGCTGGCACCTGCCACGCCCCCCAACTCCCACCAGATTCCCTCCCTTTCCCTGTGGCAGCCCTTGATCCTGGACATGGGTGGGACCCCCCCATTCCCATTCCAAGGGGTTCTGCCCGGGGGGGGCTCCGGGCCAGCTCCCCCCAGGGCCACAAGGTTTTGTGTGTCCCCAAAATCGTCACCCTAGGATGAAGCTCCGGGGACCCCCATTCCCGCCCATCCCAGGGCTTCCCACTGCTTCCCGTAGTCCCGTTTTCCACCCCAGTGCCCCTCTTGTCCCCCCCCCATTGTCTCTTTATCCCATCCCTCCCCAGGAATGCAGAAAAGGGTGTTCATGGAGCAAGAAAAAACAGGAATGTGAAGAAATCCACGTGATTTTCCCATCCTGAGCCTCTTCCTTCCACCCCCCCTCCCTCAAATTCCCAGCTCTTCCAATCCCCCCCAAATTCTCAGTGTTGTTTCCCCCAAAAAAGGGTATCAAGAAGGTGTGTCCCCCTCCCATCTCTTCAGGGATGTGTCCCCTTCCTTGGGGATTGGCTCTGGGGCTCATTCCCAGCAGGAATTTGCTCTTTGGGAAAGGGGAGCCTCAGGGAATGAGGGGCCACAAAACACTCCGATCCCAGGAATGCCTTAGGGAAGGTCCCAGGTGGAGCCACTGGAGGCAAATCTGTCTCAGTTCCTGTTCATTTTTATAAGGAAAAGGCAAATTTGGGAAAGCAAAGTTCTGTTCCAGCAACATCCCGATTCCATGGGGATATGGGGATCCAGCAGGTTCCTGTGGATCATCTGTCCTGTTGTCTGTCTAACATCGAGGCTCCCAGCAGCAATTCCTGCCCTCCAAGCCAAGGAAAACATCCCTGCAGAAGGGAGCAGGATCCGTAGGAATCCCAGCTGCACATCCCGGGCACGGCAGGATCCTGATTCCCGCCTCATTCCGTGGCTGTGCCACGCCTGACGGGGGTTTTCTGGAGCAGGGCCAGCGTGTCCCGCTTTTCCACCCGCCGGAGCTGCTTCTTCTTGGCCCTCTTGAGCTTCAGGGGGTTCCGGATCTGGAAAACAGGGAAAAGAGGGGGGATTTCATGGAATCCTGGAGCGGTTCGGGTTGGAAGGGACCTTAAGGGTGATCCTTATGGATCCTCTAGCCCAGGGTGCTCCCTTAAAGACAGAACCAGGGAGAGGAACTGGTGCACAGTCCATGGACATTGTGGGATATTCCCAGTGCTGGGAGAGGGGACAAATTGGGACTCACCACTTGGACAATCTCGGCTTTCCGCTCGTTTTCCAGGCGCCGCTTCAGGTTCTCCTCCCGCCGCCGCTTCTTTTCCTGTACCAAAACATTCCCTGTGGGATCCCTCCCTCCGGCATTAAACCCAAACCAGCTCTGACGCCTGCCCAAGCGTGAAATCCGTCATTCCAGCAGCTTTTCCAGCCCGGACGAGGCTTAGACTGACCCGGGGGGGAGTTTATTCCGAGCCAGTAAGTAGCAGCATGTGACTGGATTTGGCAGCAGCACAGGGAATTCACCATTCCAGCCACCCTTTTCCCAGGGTTTGGCACAGCACTGGGATCAGCCACAGCTCCCAAGGCCGGGATGAGGGCAGAGACATGGGATTGTGCATGGGAAAGGTGGGAATTCCCAGCTCCCGTTACCTCTCGCTCCCTCCGCTTCCCTTCCTCCAGCTGTCGGGCCAGATCTCGGACCAACTTCTTTTCCTGCCTCTCCTTCATTTTCCGGGCCCAGGAGGTGCGGAGAGCCTTGTCCTGGATCATGTGGGAGAACCTGGGCGGGCACACGGGATGTGTTGGCTCCCCAGAAACCCCGGGATGCGGCCGTGGGTCCTCTCCAGAAACTCCTCAGGCCAGAATTCCATGAAACCCCCCTCAGCATCCCCTCCAAACCCACCCCTCCGCTCAGGACCACCCCAAAGTGTCCCTGTCCCCTCTGGATCCTTCCTAAGCCTATGGATACCTATGGATAACTCCGGAATCCCCGCACGGCCCCATGAGTGACCCCCCCCAAACCCTGCCCCCCCCTGAGCCCCCCCCCGAGCTCAATCCCTCCCCAAACAGCCCTGGGGGACCCTAGAGCCCCTCAAAACGCCTCTCCCCCGAATCCTGCTCCCCCTCCTCGCTCCCACCTTTTCTTCCCGGGGTCTTTCCACACCCTCCCCGACTTGGGCCTGCCCCGCGGAATGGCTGCCACCGCCTCCTGCCGCTTCTTGGCGCCTTTCCGCCGCCGCCGCGCCGGGCCCGCGGCCGGGGCGGCCCCGCTGGGCCCCTCGGGGGTCGATCCCGATCCCGATCCCGGGGTCCCGCCGTTCTCCACCTCCATGGTCCACGTGCCCGCGTCGTCGCGGGGAGATGACGTCAGAGAGCGCTCGGGGGTAGAGGAGCGAAGCCGCCGGGGCTCCCCGGCCGCCATGTTTGTATCGGGCAACACCCGGCGCGCAGGGGGGGGTTGCCGCCATGTTTGTGTGGGGTGGCCGCCATGTTTGTGTCGGGCAGCGCTGCCCATCACCGGGGGACCCCCAGATCCCCCCCAAACCCACCCGGGGCGAGCCTCCCCCTCCCGCACCCCGAGCGACCCCCGGAGACACGCGTGGGCTGGAACGGGGGGAGAGGCCTTTATTGGGGGCACTGGGGCGGGCAAGGGGGGCTCCGAGGCTCCGGTACCGGTGACCCCCTCGGGGATGCGGCACCTCCGTGGGGTGGTCCGGTGGTCCTTGGAGGGCGGGGGGGGAGGGTTGTCCATCGCTACAGCGCCTGGGAAAGGGAAAACGTGGAAAACCGGCTTTTGGGAGCACAGAGACATCTCTGAGGTGGCCCAAGGAAGAGGTGGGACCAGCATTCCAGGGATTCCCAAGGAATCTGGGGGTGCATCCCGATCCCCCCCTCACCATGTGGGTGTAGCTGTGCTGCCGGACGGCCTCGTATCCGAACGCCAGGGCCGCCACGGCCACGCAGAATTCCAGGAGGCTGAGGAGCACGAAGGTGGAATCCAGCCCATTGCTCAGGATCTGCCGGGATGGGGAGAGAGCGGGATAAGGTCCTGGAGCAGCGCCGGGATCCTCTGCCTGACTGCGGGAGCGGGACGTTCTGGTCCCGAGCTGGACCAGGAGTCTCGGGCACCCCACCTGGAGACTGATCCCATCCGAGCTGGGACCGGGAGCCTCGGACACCCCATGGAGTGGGATCAGGAGGTTCCAACCCACCACCTGAGCAGGACCAGGATCCCTGGACACTCCACCCGAGTGGGATCAGGAGGTTCAAACCCACCACCTGAGTGGGACCAGGATTCCTGGACACCCCACCTGGAGCCTTGGCCACCCCACCGAGTGGGATCAGGAGGTTCCAACCCACTACCTGAGCAGGACCAGGATCCCTGGACACCCCGCCTGAGCGGGACCGGGAGGCTCCTCCATCCCGCCTGGAGCCCCGTGCCCGCGGCCCGGTGTGGGTACCTTGGTGTGGGTGCTGAGGCACCATTCCGGCGGGATGTGGAGGGGCAGGCGGCGCTCGCAGCCGGGCGGGAGCCGCGTGATGGCCGTGCCGTGCACCGCGGTGGCCACCAGCGCCCCGAGGGCGACACCCACGTTGAGCACGCAGCAGGTCCGCACCTGTGGGGTCACCCGGGCGTGGTGATGCGGAGCCCCGGGAAGAGGGACGAGGGATCTCCTGGAACTTTTTGTCCCTGCAATCCCAGAGCGGTTCCGAAAGACCCCAAGGGTCGCCCGGACCTTCTGTCCCCCTCGTCCCTGGAGGCTCCAAGGATGGCCTGGGCCTGTTTTTTCCCCCTCATCCCACAGTGACTCCAATAGGCCCAGAAGGTCTCCTGGACCTTTTGTCCCTCTAATCCCAGAGTGGCTCCAAAAGGCCCTGAGGATTTCCTGGACTTGTCCCCGTCATCCCACAGCGACTCCAAAAGGCCTCGAGGGTCTCCTGGACCTGTATTCCCCCTCATCCCACAGTGACTCCACAAGGCCCCCGGCGTCTCCTGGAGGCCCTGAACCCCACCCTGTGCTCCAGGTAGGAAGCACTGGGCACTTCCCTATGGGGGGATCTGCCTGTGGATCCCATGGGATGAATCCAGGCTGTGGAGGGATCCCAGCAGCCCCTGGAAGGGACGTAAGGAATGGGGGGGACACGTTATCTCAATTATCCCTCTCAGCCTGGGTCTTACCAGCACGAGGTTGTCTCTCTTTTCACTTTCCACCAGCAAAGATCCCGAGATCAGGAGCTGCTTGGAAAACAGTGGGATTAGGGGAGTCAGGAACCAGACACCACTCCCTGTCACCCTTCCTGGTGGGAATTGCGGTTCAGGGATGCACAAACACAGGCGGAAGGGGTCAGAGGAGACCTGGAGACCAGGGAATATTGCCCCCAAACCTCCGGGATTCCCCAAGATTCCCAGGTGTTCATCCCAGCTTACCAGGATCCCGAGCCAGAAGAGGATCCCGCTGGCCACGGGCAGGGAAGGGTTTTCATGCTCTGATGCTGTCAGGATGATCCCAAATAAGATGTGGATGATCCCGGTGAAGATGTGGATGGTCTGAAGAAGGATGGGGGGAGAGGGATCCCAATCCCATTGTTTTGAACTGTATCCCAGCCCGGGAAGGGACTGAGAACAGGCAGAGCACCTCCAGCAGGACAATCCCTGTGGATCCCCGATCCCCAGGAATGCTGTGTCTCACCCCCAACACCTTGGGATGAGCCCTCCGGAAGCCTTGGACTGGGAGCGACGTCCTGGTAGGCGCAGCTGCCCTGGATCCCGACGTCAGCTGTGCCGCCCGGGGATCCGTGGCCGGGATCACCTCCGTGATGATCCTCACGCCGCCGGAATCCGTCACCGTGGTGGCCGCCATGGCCTGGGAAGGAGCCCGGGAAGCTTGAGGAACACCCAGGTATCCTCCTGTCCCTCCTCCTCCTTCCTCCGCTGTCCCAAAATCCCCGGGAGGGGCTGGACAGGCAGGGCCACGCTCCCGCTGCCCTTTGCTCCCTGCGGGAAGCTCCGACCTGGAATTCTCGTCAGGCCCCTCTTGCTCAACGGGGCGGCTTTGCCAACGGAGGCTTCCGAAATCCTGCACGGGGAGAGGGAATTTGGGAAGCCGAGGTGGGTTGATTTTTGACAGGTTAGGGAAGGGTTAGGTATTCATCCCATGGGATGCTCCCGGAGGAGACTCCCCCTTTCCTGGCATTGAGTGAGTCCTTTCCATCCCAAATTGTGGATGCTTTTCTCGGGAATCACCTCTGCAATTAGCCTGGCTCCTAATGAGATGCTAATTGGGGCCACTAATGAGCCAGCCAGTCCTGCCCATTTCCCAGGAAAAACATGGATTGAGCCAGAGAACTTTATAAACCCCGTTACGTGCCCAGGAAGCTCCTTTGTTGCCATTTTTGGGGGTTCTCCTTTCTCCATCCCTGTGGATTTGTTCCCAACAGGGGCACACCTGGGAGGGATCCGGAGGGTTCCCAGCTGGCTCCGGAAAGGAGATCCCGTTGTTTATGATGGAAAATGGGAGCTCAGGCTGGGAATGGAGCCACCGCACATGGAGAGGGGATCCCGAGGGATTCGGAGGCCCCTTCTTCCCAGAAAACAGCCATATCCTATTTGCCAGGAGGATTGGGATCCTCCCCAGGTTTCCTGGGTGTTCGGTGGGTGGAGGGCAGGAATTTCTTGATGGAACAGGAATTTTTAAGTCCAGGATTCCGGCATCTATGAGCTTGGTATCCCACCACCCGGAAAGGGGCAGGACCCTCCAGCTGAGGATTTTAGGAGCAGGTGGAGCAACTTTTGGAAGTGTTTTTTCCTTCCTTTTGGCCCTAGAGGGAGCTGAGAGGCCGGGTTTGGAAGCACAGCATTCCAGAGCTCGGGAGAGGCTTCCAGCCCTGGAGCCAGGTTGGACGGGGCTTGGAGCAACCCGATCCAATGGAAGGTGTCCCTTCCCATGGCAGGGCGTTGGAACTGGATGATCCTTAAGGTCCCTCCCAGCCCAAACCATTCCAGGATTCAGTGAATGGGATACACCCCCAAACCCAGCCTAAATCAGATCCCAGAGAAGAGCTGGAACGACAGACCTGGAATGACAGACCTGGAAAGCAAAGAGCAACGAGTGACTTGCGTTTCCATCCCATCCATGACCTTCCTCCATCCCACATCCCTGATGGAAGCACTTGGCCTCGTAAAGGGCTGCATCTGGCGGCACAGCTTTCCAGGAAAAACACGGACATGGATGAGATTCAACCCCTTCAGCGCAATCCTGGTGCCTCAGAGCCTTTAATTCCTGCTGCTCCCTCTCCCTCTCAACACCCCAATCCTAACAATCCCAGGGATTTCGTTCCAGGAACACTTGAGCCCCCGTGGAAATTCTGGGATCCCCTCTTTATCCTCCAGCATATCCAGGGCTCAAATTCCCAGCCAAAACCACCCTGCACGGTGGATTTCCTTCCAAATCCTGCAGCATTCCTGCAATTCCAGCCTTTCAGCCAGAGACTGCCCTCGGCCCCCAAAACAACCCCTTTCCGAGCAAGTTATCCATGGAAAAAGTGCTTTCCCCCTTCCAAAATAAACCCAGGTCCAGCCTGGAGCCCAAGGAAGGACGTCAGGATTTATCCTGGGAGCGGATTCTGGAGGAGGTGAAGCTTTGAAGCAGATACAGGGAAGTAGTGGAGTTTTCCAGCCCTTTATTTGCAGGAATTCCGAGCTTTGTTGATATATACAATACATTCCTTGGATTTTAATGTTTATTTTCCTATTCTTCAGGGGAAATTATGGATGGGGGAAGCCTGGTTGGATGCTCAGACTCAGGAGGGATCAGCGAGACCCCCCCAAGTCCCTTCCCACCAGGATAAATTTACAAGCCTGGTGGAACCAAAATCCCTTTTCCAACCCAAAAATCCATGGGTTTTTTCCAAAGAAAATAGATTGCGACGGAGAAATTCCTTCCAGAGAAGGTTGCTGCTTCCCGGGACAAACTTTATATCCCCATAAAAATACCAAAAGTCAACATTTGGCTTTGCTTCCAGGTGTTCCTGCTTCCCACAGGGCTGTTTCCATAGCAATTCCGGAAGGAAAGTCCTGTTTTCTGGGATGAATCGCAGGATTTTTTTGGCTTTTATCCCCGTGACATTCCCAGGAGTCACAGCACAGATGCCACTGCGAACACACCAGGTATATCATCCCAGGAATGTCACCTGTGTTGTCCTCAGAATTCCCTGGAGGAGCCTTCTCTGAGGGTGTTAAACCCTGCTGTGTCCATCACGGATTAGGGAATCCGGAGCTGGGAGCGGGGGGGAGGTTAGGGTTATCCCTACCCTGGCATTTGGGACACCAGGACATTGCTCCCAAACCCTGTCCCAGATGTGTCTGTCACCCCCTCACATGACATTCCAGCCTTTGATCCACTTGCTCCCAGTAAAACTCCAGATCCTGCGGAAAAGCTCTGGCGCATCTCCAAGGTTTCGCTGGCACCGACTCCCACTGACAGTCCTGGAATGGTTTGGGTGGGAAGAGACCTTAAATCCCACCTCGTTCCCACCCCGACACCTTCTACTATCCCAGGTTGCTCCAACCTGGCCTTGGACATTTCCAGGGATGGGGCAGCCACAGCTTCCCCGGAAAATCCATTCCAGGGCTTCACCTCCCTCACAGAGAAGAATTTCTTCCCAGTATTCCCACCCTCTGGCAGTGGGAAGCCATTCCCAATGCCCTGTCACTCCATCCCTTTTCCAAAGTCCCTCTCCAGCTCTATTGGAGCTGCTTTAGGCACTGGAAAGTGCTCCAAGGTCTCCCCGGATCCTTCTCTTTTCCAGGGAAGACAGCCATTGGGACCCCCCCAGCCCATCTCACGGCTGCTCCCCGGCTCCTCCGTGGAGTTTTGCCTTTCCTTGGGGATCTTCTGGGTGGAAAGCCCATGGATGCAGTCTGGGAACAGCTCTTTATTATCCCTTTATTATCCCACTTATCCATGTCCACGAGGATACGGGTGGCAGCATCACCATGAGGGACACGGAGCTCGGGATCAAATCCATAAGGAAAACTGCCCACTCCCCCCCCAGGGCTGAAAATTCCCACCTAAAAATAGAGATATATTAAACCCCCCTACATTTCCATGGAACTTTAAACACTCCAGCATTTTCAGGGAAAGCTGCACCTAAACACCAGGATACTCTGGGAAAACTGACTCTGATCCCGAGGAGGGAGAGGATGATTCCCAGCCTCTTTCCTGGGAAGCTGCCGCCTGGGAAAACACAGATGGATCCGCCAGCTTGGCTGAGGGTTGGAATGGCTTCCTGGTGGTCCCTATGGAGCTGGGAGAGGCTGGGATGCTCCGGAGCCGTAATGGATTGTGGACACAGGGTGAGTAGACACAGCCTGTTCATCCCATTCCCAAAATCCCTGGGGCTTTTCCTACTGATCAGGCTCATTATTTTTTCAGAGCTGGGCCCAGAAATAACTGACAGGGAGTGAATAATCCATGAGGCTTTGGCTGAGCAGCCGGAGCGTCGGGGAGGGTGGGAAAAACAAGGAAAACACCCGAAAACCAAAGGGAATGTTCGAGGAGGACATCACTGATCCTGCTCTGGGGAGATTTGGGATGGATCCTGTCCCCAAAAGTAAGGAGATCCCCCCCACAGGGCACTGAGAAGTCACCAGGATGCTCCCACCCCTTGGAAAATTGGCACTGGGGTCTCCATCCTGGCTTTCCAGGAGTTTGGGATGCTCCTTAAGTAACTTGATGCCGCTGGGATGCTTGTTAGGTCCCCAAGCATCCCTATGGGTGCGGGATAATTAAGGGTGAATCCGTAACGAGCTCCTCAGGAGCCGACGAAATGATCCCAGAGCCCTTTGGCTCCGATTCCTGACCCCAAAACCGAGGGATTTTGGAGGAGTTGCAGCCCCTCGGATCCCTCCGCTCCGTTCCCGCCACACGGAATTGTGGGAACAGGGAGCACACGGCGCCGGTGTCCCCGTGTCACCCCGAGGAGCAGCTCAAGCCCCCGGGGCAGCTTCTCCAGTGGCGGAAAAAGCGGGATGTGCTGGGATGTGCTGGCGTCACCGGCGTCGCCGCCGGCGCTCCGGCTGCTCCGGCCCGGCTAAAAATAGCGGAGCCGGAGCGTGGGAGGGGGAGGTCTGGGGGCAGAATTCCCTCAGGAGAGCAGGTACCCCTGGTTTAGGGGGCGGAATTCCATGAAGAGAGGGGTTTATGGGGGCAGAATTCCCTCAGGATGAGGTACCAGGGGGTTAGGGGGGTTGGGATTCCCTTGGGAGAAAGAGCAGGTCCTGGGAGTTAAGGGGGGGAAGAATTCCCTTGGGAGCAAGTACCAGGGGTTTAGGGGGGACAGAATTCCACTGGGAGAGGGAACAGGTAGCAGGAGTTTAGGGAGGCAGAATTCCCCCAGGAGGGCAGGTACCCAGGTTTAGGGGGCAGAATTCCATGAAGAGAGGGCATTAGGGGGGCAGAATTCCCTCAGAATCAGGTACCAGGGGCTTAAGGGGTGGAATTCCTTCAGGGGAGCAGGTACGGGGGGTGAAGGGAGTGGAATTCCCTCAGGAGACCAGGCACTGGGGATTTAGGGGGACAAAAATCCCTCAGGATCAGGTGCCAGGGGTTTGGGGGGATGGAGTTGCCTCAGGAGAGAGGGGTATGAGGGACTTAAAGGGACAAAATTCCCTCGGGAGCAGGCACTGGGGGTTTAGGGGGAGAAGAATCCCTCAGGAGCAGGTGCCAGGGGTTAAGGGGGATGGAATTACCTCAGGAGGGAAGGCACTGGAGGTTCATGGGGACAAAAATCCCTTGGGAGCGGGTGCTAGGGGTTTAGGGGGGTGGAACAAATCCCGGGGGTTTGGAGCGGGGCAGGATTCCCTTGGGAAACAGAACAGGTAGCAGGGGCTTAGGGGGGCAGAATTCCCGTGGGAGAGAGCAGGTACCCCTAAACCAGGCGGGATGAGCCCTTTTCCTGACAGGGAGCAGGTCTGGGGGGGGGGGGGCAAAATTGTAACTCCCACGCTGAAAATTCCCAAATTCAGGAGACACAAGCCCGGACCGAGCATTTATTCCCAAGATAAAACCAAGCCAACACGGGATGAGCCGAGGTAGATGGTCCAGTGGATCCACGCGTCGGGATCACTCCAAGCCACCAGACCCCCGGGAAGTCCTGAATCCTGACACGAGTGAATCCCAGAATCCCACTGGGGATTTACGGGCAGGAATTCCGCAAGAGTCCCACACGGAGAAGCCCCTTCCCAAAGCAGCCAGCAAGGAATGCCCCTCAGACCAGGCACGGGGGCAGATGGATGGGCAGGAGAGTGGGAATTTGGGGGGGGCTCGCTGGCTTTTGGAGGCGTGGGACCAGCATATCCCAGCGGGAAGACGATGCCGTAGCCCTGGATTTGGGAGCGATGGAGCCAGGATCCCATTCCGGTGTCAGACTTCAGGAGCAGCCAGCTGGAAGGAGAGCGAGCTTTGGGAAGGGGGAAGGATTTGGGGTGATCCCTCAGCGGGATTTTGGGATCTCCTCCCCCATTCCCGGAGCAGAGAGGTGGATGCTCCAGGATGCTCTCCGGGAAGGGGGTGTTTTCCCAGGGCAGCGGGATGGGGTCTGTCACGCAGGAAGGGATCGGATGCTGCTCCGGGGCGGGGGGAGCCATCCCAATCCCGACTGTGCTCCTATCCCAGATATTCCTTGGGATCGGGAATCACCTCGGTGTAGCTGGGTGGCTGCGGCAGCTCCGCCGGCGGCACGGCCAGGTCCACACGGGTGGCACTGGGGACGATCAGCATGGACTGGGAGAAACCAGGATCATGGGATAAACCAGGATAACAGGGAAGAGCTTTGGGGGGGGGGTCCATCCCAGCCTCCCCCCCGCCCCATTCCTCACCTCGTTGGAGCTGAGCCGGGTGGCCCGGCACCAGAAGTTGGCAGTGGCCACGGCGATGCAGAATTCCAGGACGGTGAAGATGAGGAGCACGATGGAAATCCCGTTCCCTGCGAGCTCCAAGGGGGGGGAAAATCCCATCAGCACCTCCCCGGATGCACCTGCCCGGGAGGAGGAATCCCACCCCATGCTGCGCTTTGGGGCTCCCCCCTCCTCTCCCGCCGCACTCCCGGCTCCGTGAGTGCTCCGAGCCCGCCATCCCGCCGTTTTTCCGGCTCGCGGATGCTTCCAAAGGGTGAGTCATCTCCCCAGGGACCGACCTGAAATAGGTCAACGCCGGCAGACGCGCCAAACCCCCACCCCAAAAGCGCCTTTGGGGGGGGGCCACGACGCCCCTCTGAGGGGCAGGGGACACACCGGGGGGGTTCTCCCGAGGGCGGGAATTCCCGAAAGCGGGATTACCAGGACGAGGTAACCGTGGTAGTCGAGGGTGGAGTGGTAGAGCACGTTGAAGTTGAGGTCGACGATGAAGGCCACGATGCCCAGCAGGGCGAAGATGGCGCTGATGACGTTCATGGTCTGGCTGCCCTTCACCTGCAGGCACCGGGGGCTCTCAGGGGGACCCAGGGGAGGATCAGGGGGGGCGGGAGACCCCCCAAAAGATCCAGGAGGGACCTCCCAGCCCGCTCCCGGCAGCACTCACCGCACATTCCGTGGGGCTCTTCTCGGCGCCGATGGAGAGGCAGCCGGAGATGATGAACTGGGGGGGACAGGGGGGTCAGGGGCACCCCCAGAGCTGCCCGGAGACACCCCCCTGGGTTGGCAGCTGCGGGGGCAGAATTCCCTGTGCCCAGGGATGGAGTGGCTGGGAGCCACGGGAGCCCAGGGGGGATCATTCCTGGTGGGCATCCCTTCCCTGCTGGGATTCCCTCCCTAGGTGGGCATCATTCCCTGGTGGGTGTCCTTCCTTCCCAGAGGGTATCCTTCTCTGGTGGGATTCCCTTCCTGGTGGGCATCATTCCCTGGCAGGATTCTGTTCCTTGTTGGCATCATTCCCTGCTGGGCATCCTTCCCCACTGGGCATTGCTCCTGGTGGGCATCCTTCCCGGTGGGCTTCCCGTCCCTGTGGGCATCATTCCCTGGCAGGATTCTCTTCCTAGTGGGCATCATTCCTGGTGGGCATCTTTCCTGGTAGGTATCCCTCTCTGGTGGGATTCCCTTCCCTGTGGGCATCGCTCCCTGGTGGGATCCTTTCCCTGGGGGCATCAGTTCCTCGGTGGGCAAACTTTTCCAGAGGATACCCCTCCTGGAGGGTGGGCACTCCTTCCCCTCTGGGCATCCTTTCCCAGCGGGATCCCTTCCCGGCAGGACTGTTCCCGCTGCCCCGCGCTCACCGACACGCCGCCCAGGAACGGGATCTCTCCGATGACGAACACCGAGGTGTAGAGGTTGGTGAGCGTGGTCAGGACGATCCCGAAGCCGATGTGCAGGAATCCCGTCATGATCTGGATGGTCTGCAGGACCGGGATGGACGGGAATGAGGTCAACTCACCACCGCCCCCCTTCCTCCAGTGCCGCGCCGGCCGCGGGGGCGCCTTGATCCCACAGCGTCCCCCGAGGGATCGGCGGGAGGACGGGAATCCCCCGGGAACGGGGTGAGGGGGGTTTCTCCAGGGGTTCCCCGTCCCGAGCCCACCCCCCGTGCCCCCCAAATCTCACCCCCATGACGCGGTTCTTGCCCTTGGAGAGGGTCTCCGCCGTGTACATGACGGCGCGGTTGCCCAGCCGGAGGCTCCCCATGCCCTGCATGGAGAGATCGGGGGGCGCCGGGACCCCCCGGAGCAGCCCCGCTCCCCCCGGGGCCGCCCCCGCCACACCCCGCCCGCCACACCCCGCCCCGCCCGCCGCCCATTGGCCGGGCGCCGTGACGTCAGCGGCTGCATCACACACACCCCGGGCACCGCCCAACCCCAAACCCCCCCCCAAAAAATCACCCCGTAAAAAGGATGGGGGGGGCGGAAAGTGGAACATCCTGGCTGCGAGGGGTTGGGGGAGATGCTCCATGGGGCAGGGAAGATGGGAGACCCCACCCGTGTGGGGTGGGGGGAGACGCTTTGTGGGGGTCCCCCGGCTGCGTGGGGCGGGGGGAGATGCCCCGGGGGACTGTGTGGGGCGGGGGGAGATGTTCGCTGGGGCTGGGAAGATGCTCCATGGAGCATTTCCCCCACCTCCCCGCGGTGGGCAGGAGGCGGGGGAAATGCTCCGTGGGGCACCCCGGCCGTGTGGGGCACGGGGAGTTTCTCCGTGGGGCAGGGGGGAGATGCTCCGTGGGGCGATGCCCAACGCTGCAGCCCCCCCAGGGAAAGGTGCTCATCCCCAACCCAAGGGAGAGGAGGAAAAGAGGGTTCCGGGGGCACAGAACCTCTCCAACCCCCTCCCCAGCTCTGTGTCCCCCCACCTCTCCCGCCCCCTTCCAGCTCCAGGCCGTGTTTACAGGAGCTCAGAAAGAAAGGGGAAAAAAATAAAAAGAGAGAAAGGAAAAAAAAAAAAGCCCCGGCGCGAATTCCTGGAAGAATAAATCCATCAAGGGCCATTAGGCTCCTGCGGCTCCTCCCGGCGGAGCGGGTGAGTTGGAGGAAGGAGGGGGGGACCAGGGGGGGCTGCGGGGGACACGGGGCACTGCCCAGGCACCATTCCCCTGGATGTCCTTGGCACCCCTTCTCCAGATAGGGATGGTCCAGAATATCTTCCTTGGATCTGCTCCCTGGAGCAGGAGGGAAGGGGAGATGGGACCCCCCCACACTCATCCCAGCCACTGCCCCTGTGCTGGCTTTGCCCCCAGGGGGCTTCCCCCGGTTTTTAGGGTGTCCAGCCCTGAGAAGGAGCCAGGAGCTCCGGGCAGGGGATTAAACCACAAATCCAAGAATTAATGCTCTGGGAATTAGGGGGGTACAAGATACTCTCCTGTATCCCAAAATCCCTGCACCCAGGACTCCACAGTGACAGGCACAGCTCGTGTCCCCCAGGTGAGAAAGTGGCACAGGGGCCCTCTGATCCATGTCCCCCTCAGCCCCGGGACCTGTCCCGCCGTGGCCAAGCAGCTTTGGGAATTGGGGAGCAGTGCCCATATTCCAGCCCATATTCCCCCAGAATCCCGGAGCTGAGGTGCCCACGAGGAACCCCAGCCCCGCCCTTCTCCCCAAATTATCCCGCAGCTCCCAGCACCTGCCAGAGCACCCCAGGGAGCCCGGTGGGACTTTTGGGGGTCCACAGTGGCAGTGGGGACGTGTCACAGCCCCCCACCCCCTCACGCCGAGCACCCCCGGCGCGTCCACAGGATCCACAGCTGCCTCGGGCAGTTCCGCACGTTTATTCCCGAAACAGGGATGCTCACGCAGTGACGGGCTCGGCGGGAGCAGGGGCGTTCCCGGGGGTCACCGTGGGCACCTGAGGACCCTCAGGCCCCCCTGGCCGTTCCCGGCCCGGCCCCTCCGCACGGAGCAGCAGCAGCCGGCAGCGCTGGCGGCCACCAGGACGGAGCACATGGCCACCAAGGCCACCGTGGTGCCGGGGACAGCCAGCCCTGCGGGGACGGGCGGCAGTGAGGGGACAGCGGGGCCACCCAACCCACCCACCCCCCTTCCCCGGATCCACGGGGTCCTCGCACCCACCTGAGTCCCTCTGGTCCCCCTGCAGCACAGGCACCGAGGGGCGGGCAGGGGGGTCCGGGGTGGGCTCCCGAGGGGCTGGGGACAGGCTGGGACGAGCCGAGAGCAGCCCCAGGTGGACACCGGCTTCTCCCAGGAGCCCTGCAAGGAGGATGGATCCATGGAGCGCTGGAATCGCCCCCGCGGGGCTCAGGGAGCCAAGGCTCTCATCTCACCTCCACCAGGCAGACGCTGCCGCCGCCGCCCCCCTCAGCCTTTTGGGGACCCGCAGCACGAACAGTCGAATCCAGTGAATCCAGCATCCAGGGAACGCCAGGCAGATGCCTCCCGGTCGTAGGAACAGGCTTTTCCAGGGAGGCTTCCAGCCCCTGGAGCCACAGCCCGCAGGTGGCAGCGGAGGGAGACCAGCCAGGGCAAACATCCTCGTGGATTCTCCACCAGGCTCTGGAGGAGTCACCCCACGCCCCCAGCCCTCCCGCTGGCACGGACCTGGCTGCCGGAGAGGTTTGGGAAGAGGAGAGCGTCCAGCTGGAAGCGGAGGGAGTGGTTTCCACGCCGCGGGAGGAAGCGGGAGCAGCCGAGCTGCCCATCCAGCAGGCACCTGCCAGGTGGGACACGGGGCGAGCTGGGCACTGCCACACCCCTCCCCAGAGGGTCGCCCACCCCATTCCAGCCGCGGAGCTCACTCGTTGTCAGCGATGACACGGAATTCCGGCCGTTTGGAAACGCCTGGAGCGGCCACGCACTGGTCCACCAACACCCTCAGGGGCTCCCGGGGGTCGGTGCCCAGGGACGCCTGGACGTTGATCAGCTCCCCTAGGGAACAGGAGGGGTGGGACAGGCGGGAGGACCAGGAACCTGAAAGGGGGTGCCCTGGGGGTCACAGGGGGTCCCATACTGCGGGGTGAGGGGGTCCAGGGCTCCTCCACTCACGGTCAAACACGGCCAGGGCGAAGCATGGCCGTCTCCAGTGAGCGACAGTGGAGCCGAAGGGGATCCAGGTGGGATGGATGGGCATGGACGAAATGTTGCCTGTCCTGTGCCACAGAGGATCCTTGAGTGAGGGCACAGAGGGCACCCCTGCACCCCATCCTGATACAGACAACCCCCCACCCTCCCTCCAAAATCCCTCACGGATGGATCCCACATCAGGCTCATGTAGGACTCAGAGCCCTGGCTCCCAAGGGTCTCTGCTGGGGAATCCTGGGCTCCTGGGGGGATCCTCCCCACTCACCTGGGGTAGTTACACTCCACAGGGAGGGACAAGGGTCTGGCACGAGCCACAGGCCCCCTGGACAAGGGGTGGTAGTGAAGGATGTTCCCGTAGTGGATTCTGTCTGGGAGGAGCTGTGGGAAGGAGCGGGTTTGGGACTGGATTTGAGGCTGGGGGTTTCCCCCTCACCCCGGCACCCAGGAATGCCCAGGCCAGGGTTCGGGTGACCCCTCACTCAGCAGTGCTCTCAGAATGGCCGGGATGGGGATTTGGGGGTACCCTCCATGCTGGTCCCACCTGGTTTCCTTCCCGGCCCCAAGCCCTGGCAGGGTCCCCTCATTCCCACCCCATGCCTGTTCCCATCGGGGACATGTGTCCCTGCTCCTCACCTCCAGGGTGGTCCCACAGCCCAGGAGCGGGTGCTCCAGCCGGAATCCATCCCTGTCAGCACTGGTCACTCCACATCCAGAGCCCAGGATCAGCTCCCCAGCGGCCACACGGCTCCCCAGGACACGGAGCGGGACCGTCACCGAGAGCCACGAGGGGCCACACGTGACAGAGACTGGCAGGTGAGCGGGAGGAGGAGTGAGACAGGGATTTGGGAACCCCAGGATGCACCAGGATGAGCTCGAGGCTCAGCTGGACCTCAAATCCCTGCAGTGATCCTTTAGGGAGTGGCCCCAGGCACTGAGGCCGTGGTCCTCCTCACCATGCCCAGGGCAGGGGGACCCACCCTGTCCCCATTCCTGTCCCTGTCCCCAGACACCCCAGACACCCCCTTACCCAGGCCATGCTGAGCCCAGGCTGTGGATGCAAGGAAGAGCACAAACCACCCTCCCCTGGGAGCATCCATTGGGATAATGGAGATGGAGGGATGACCCCAAATGGTAGCTTTAATCCCTGTGGAAAGGGCAGTGGCCACGGGTCTCCAGGGGGAAGCTGGGTATTCCCACGCCCCCTGCACATGCCTGGGGCTCATTACCAGACCTTCCTCCTTCCGGGGAAAACCAAGGGGCTTGGGCACTTTTCCTCAATCCAGCCCTGCTCCTTCCCCTGCTCCTGGTCCCCACCCCTGTCCCTGTTCCAGCCCTGTCCCAGTGGAAAGTCTGGATTGTCCCATGGGACACTGCAAAGTCCTTGAGGAGGGAAACCAAACCACAGCATTCCCATCCTGAATCCAAACTCAGCTACTGGGAAGGAAGGAACCCTATCCCAATAACACCAGCACAGTGGGAACACTCAGGCAGCTCTTTTGGGAAAATCCTTATTTATTTCAAACACAGGATCTGCAGGAGTATCTGAACTGCCAAGACAAACTTCCTCCTGAAATTTGACAGCCAGCTTGGGAAAGCTCCCTGGAGATGGGGGAATTCCAGATCCCTTTGCTGCTGGAGGATCTTCTCCGACACCGAGCCCGGGGTGTTCCCGGTTGGCACCACTGCAGCATCCTGGGATCCCTGGATTGGGCACTGGTGGCTCCAGGAGTCTTCCTGCTGTGCCACTTCTTCCTGGGAACTCTTCACTGCAGTGGGCTGGGCTCCCAGTTTGACTTCCAGGTTCTTCCTGGCCACGTGCATCCTCAGGGACAAGCGTGTTCTGCTGATTCCTGCTGCTCCGAGGGAGCAGGGAGAGCTGTCCACAGAGTCTTCTCCGTCTGGAGCCCGCCAGGAATCGCTCAGGCTCTTGGAGAGGGGGAGGCTTTCGGAAGGAGTGAGGCTGCCAGAGGAATGGAGGCTCTCCGAGGGCAGGGGTGACCCTTCCTGCCGTTCCACCCTCTCCTGGGAACACATGAGGCTTCCAGAGAAACGGAGGCTCTTGGGGGGCTGGGATGACCCTTCCTGCCGTTCCACCTGCTCCTGGGAGCGCACCACTGGCATGGGCCAGGCTCCCATTTTGACTTCCAGGCTTTTCCTGGCCACATGCACCCTCAGGGATGAGCTGGCCTTGCTCATTCCCGCGTCTCCCAGGGAGTAGGGAGAGCTGTCCACGGCATCTTTCCCATCTGGAATCCAGCAGGAATCACCGAAGCAGCAGTACAGGTGGCCTCGCTCCACCAGCTTCTCCAGGTCCTCCCACAGCACCTGCCACGCCAGAGAAACCCTTGGGAAGGATATCCCATTCCCAGCATACACAGACACCAGCAGATCCTGCAGCTCCTGGGCCGCTGTGGCACAGGGGGAGCAGCCGGGGCCGCATCCACACGGGATGGAGCCCATGGGAGCCTCTGGAAAAGCGGGAGCCATGGGGGAACTGGAAGCAGCTAGAGCCACTCGGCTGCTCCGGGAGCCCAGCAGGACGCCGCTCATGGCTCCCCCCATCCCGTTGGGATCGCACCTATCCCATATCCCTGGGAGCTGGGTGGGGGTGGCTCCCAGTGTTGCCTGGCGACGGCATGCTGATGTCACAGCCCTGCTTGTGATGTCACAGCCCCAGGTCACCCCAGGGCTCGGGTGGGGGGAGAAAGGGGCTTCTAGTGGGCAATGGAGGCCCCTGTGGAGCAGAAGAGGTGAAAGATTCCCAGCCAAACAGGACACAGAGATGATGATGAGGAGGAGGAGGATGGTGTCACCTCCTGGAAAACATGGATTATCGTGGAAAACATGGATTGTCCCATAGGACACTGTGGAGTCCTTGAGGAGGGCAAGCCCCGCTCGGCAGCCACCAAACCATCCCTGTGTGATCCACAGCATTTCCATCCCGAGTTCCTGAATCCGAACCCAGCTACCAGGAATAAAATGGAACCTTATCCCAGTCAAACCACTCCGGGCTTTTATTATTCCAGCAAAACCAGTTTGTCGCCCAGAACAAAGACTGGAAGCCACTTCTAGCACCTCCTGAGGCCGCTGAGGGACCCCGGGACCCCTCGGAGGAGAATCCCAAGGTCGGTCACCCCTTCCCGGTACGCGCGGGGGAAACTGGGATGCGGCGGAACTAATATTGCGGGCGCGTTTTCCAGCCGGGCCGTGGCACGGGGGGGGCGGCTTTGCAGAGGACCGATAGCGGCGCCCGTGCGGCACTTCCGGCGATGTGGCGATGGCGGCTCCCGGGGCTGCTCCGGGCCGGGCCAGGTCGGGGGGGCTCAGGCCGCGCTCCCAGGGGCCGCCGGCTGCCCGAGGGGGGCTCGGGCGGCCGGGGCGGCCCGGCGGGGACTCGGGCGGGGCGTGGAGGGGGTGACCCCGGGCCCCCGCTCCGTTAAGCGGCGGACACCGTGAAGGGCGCCGGGCCCCGCCGTGACCCCCCGCTCTGCCCCGCAGGTCCCGGCGGAGTGGCGATGCCCCGCGCGGGGCTCAAGAAGTGGGTGCTGCCGCCGGATTACAGCGGTGAGTACAGCGGCGATGGGAGGCGCGGGGCTCCGCGCGCGGCCTTGCCGGGGATCCTCATCCCGGCGTTATCCCGGCAGGAATCACCTTCCCGGAGAAGCCGAAGCTGAAGTTCATGGACAAGGTGCCGGCCGTGCCCAAGGTCCGGCGGGAGCCGCGGATGCTCCGTGACATCCGCGGGCCGTCCCGGGAGGCCACCGACTTCATCCAGGGGCAGTACGGGATCCTGGTGAGCGCCGAAGGGAGCCGGGGGGGAATTCCAGAGGCTGGGATTGGAGCGGGAGTGGGAACCCCCAGGGTGGAGACCCCCCGTGCTGCTGACCCCTCCCAAAACGGCCAGGAACTGGAGGGAATTGGTGCCAGGGTGGCTCTGGAAAACTGATTTGCCTCTGTTGGGAACGTCCCAGCATTCCCGGGAAGGGGCTTAGGAGTGTGACTCACAGGTTAAGTGTTCCCAGGCAGGACATGGGACCCTTCTTCTTGTCCCTGGGTAGAACACAGGACTCTTTGTCCCTGTGCCATGTCCCTGTTCCCAGGCAAGACACGGTTCCCTCTGTCCCACCCGTTATCCCTGAGTTATCCCACCCCATATCCCTGAGTTATCCCACCTCATATCCTGAGTTATCCCACCCCTTTTCCTTGAGTTATCCCACCCCATACCCCGGGTTATCCCTCCCATATCCCAAGTTATCCCCCCCCCCATATCCCAAGTTATCCCACCCCTTATCCTTGAGTTATCCCACCCCTTATCCTTGAGTTATCCCACTCCATATCCCAGGTTATCCCCCCCATATCCCGAGTTATCCCACCCCATAGCCCAAGTTATCCCCCAGATATCCCCCCAATTTATCCCCCCAAGTTATTTCCCGGATTATCCCCCCCCCATCCCGGGCTCTCCCTGTTTTCCTGCAGGCTCTGGGCGGGGGGTACCTGCACTGGGGCCACTTCGAGATGATCCGCCTGACCATCGGGCGCCACATCGACCCCAAGTCCATGTTCGCCGTGTGGCGCGTTCCCGCCCCATACAAGCCGATCACCCGGAAGAGCCTGGGCCACCGGATGGGCGGCGGGAAGGGCCCCATCGACCACTACGTGACGGCCGTGCGCAGCGGCAGGCTCATCGTCGAGGTGGGCGGCCACTGCCACTTCGGCCAGGTCCAGCCTTTCCTCACCCAGGTGGCCCAAAAACTGCCCTTCCCGGCCATGCCCGTGAGCCGGGAGAGCCTCCAGGAGATGCGCCGGGAGGAGGAGGAGAAGAGGCTCAACAACCAGAACCCCTGGACTTTCGAGCGCATCATCACCTCCAACATGTTGGGCATGAGGAAGTATCTGAGCCCCTATGACCTGCGGCTCCAGGGCCGCTACTGGGGCAAGTTCTTCCTCAAGCACAGGGTGTGAGGGGCATGGATGGCATTCCCACGGGATTAAACCGGCACGCCGGAGCCTGCGGTGGCGCTTGGAGCTGGGAATGCGGGGCTGGGAGCGTCCCGGGGGGACATGAGGGGCGCAGGCGCGAGGCGGAGCCTGGCTGAGCTCATGGAGGTGGAGCATCCTGAGGGATCCACGGATCGGGGTTTGAGGCGTGAGGCTCTTTGTCCTGAGCTGGAATCGTGGAGCTGGGGGAATACGTGGATCAAGGCTGAGGATGGATGAGTTCTTTATCCTGGAGTGGGTTTTGGAGTTGGGAGCATCCCAGGGGATAAATGGATCGGGGTTTGAGGCAGGAGGCAGGGCATGAGCTCTGTCCTGAAGTGGGTTTTGGAGCTGGAAACATGGGACTGAGAGCGTTCTGGGGTATAAATTAATCAGGGATTGAGCCACAAGGCAGAGTGTGGGTGAATTCTTTATCCTGAAGTGGGTTTTGGAGCTGGAAACATGGGATTGGGAGCATCCTGGGGAATCCATAGGTCAGGGTTTGAGGCACAAGGCAAAGGATGGCTGGGCTCTGCCCTGAAGTGGGTTATGGAGCTGGAGACCAGGAGTTGGGAGCATCCCAGGGAATAAATGGATCAGGGTTTGAAGCATGAGGTTCATTATCCTGAAGAGGGTTTTTGAGGTGGAAACATGGAGCTGGGAGCATTTGGGGGATCCATGGATCAGTGTTGGAGACACGAGGCAGAGTGTGGGTGCATTCTTTATCCTGAAGGGGGTTATGGAGTTGGGAGCATCCGGGGGGATAAATGGATGCCTGGGGGATAAATGGATGCCTCATGGACTGAGGCACGAGGCAAAGGATGGCTGGGCTCTATCCTGAAGTGGGTTTTGGAGGTGGAATCATGGAACTTGGAGCATCCTGGAGGATTCAGTGGTTTGAGACACAAAGCTCTTTATCCTGACGTGGGTTTTGGAGCTGGAAACATGGAGCTGAGAGCATCCTGGGGGATACATGGATCAGTGTTTGAGGCACAAGGTTCTTTATCCTGACATGGGTTTTGGAGCTGGAAACACAGAACTGGGACCACCCTGGGGGATAAATGGGCCAGGATTTGAGGCACGAGGCAGAGTGTGGGTGAGCTCTTTATTGAGGAGGAAGGCTCTGGCGTGGGTGGCTGCACATCCAAGGAGCTCCGAGCGCAGGGAAGAGGCTCCTCTGGCCATCCCAGCAAGGCAGAGCCCTGTGTCCCCCCCGGAGAGGGACACGGCCCCTCCGGCCACTCCATGCCACCGGCCATCACCCGAGGAGAGCAGGATGAGGAGCTGGGAACTGGGGGAGCACGGCAGGGGGGGCTCCACTCCTCCAGGGACGTGTCGGGATGTCCTCGGGGCTCCAGGGACCAGGGGCTTGGCAGGCCGGGGTCTCTCCCGTGGATCATCCGGGCGGGGGGGCAGGAGGGGGAAGAGCCACCTGTGACAGGGACAAGAGGTGATGCCGAGGAAAGGGACGTGGCTCCCAATCCCTCCCTGACACCCGAGGGGGTGAGTCCCACCTGGATCAAACCCCACCGAGGCCCAAAGCTGCTCCCCCGGGATTGGGGAAGGTGGGGACCCCCCGTGCCACCCTCTGTCCCTGTCCCAGTCACCTGGAGGGCAGCGGGAGGGGGGGCTCAGGCGAAGATGCTCCCGATGCTGGAGGCCAGGATGATGGCCAGGATGATGCAGCACAACATGATCATGATCTTCTTCTGCTCAGGGAGACAGGGAATGTGAGCCATGGACACGGGGGGACACATTGGAGGGGACAGGGACAGGGATGGGCAGGGGTACAAGGGAAAAGGAATGGGGAAGAGGGATGGGATAAGGACAGGCCGGGCGGGGGGTCAAGGGACAAGGATGGGGCTGGGGATGGGGATAAGGGATAAGGAATGGGGCTGGGGAGGGGGACAAGGAGCAAGGACAGGGATGGGAGGGGGACAGATTGGGAGAGGGACAAGGATGGGGCTGGGAAGGGGAACAAGGGAAAAGGAATGGGGCTGGGGACAAGGGATGGGGTTGGGGAAGGGGGGCAGGGGACGGGTACAAGAAATGGGGCTGGGGAGGGGGATAAAGGACAAGGACGGGTTGGGAGGGGACAGGGGAGGTGTGTTGCGCAGGGAGGTGACAGTGCCGGTGTGTCCCCCTGGCACAGGTGACCAAACTGTGACTTACCCAAGCACTTGGGCGGGGGGGGACGCTCCGGGCAGAGCCCGTGGGGTTTGGGGTGTCCCCAGCCCCACAGCCCCCCTCATCTCTTACAAAAACGGGGCTGTCACAGCCCCCAGACCCCCGGCCACCCCCAGAGCAGGGCTGGTGGCTTTGGGTGTCCGGGGTGACAGCAGGGAGAGGAGGCACAGGGCAGGGATCAGCCGGGATTTTATTGAAATTGGGAACTAAATGTCTACGGTCGCCGCGGCGCCGGCCACTATCCCTATTCCCGTCCCGCGTGCCACCGGGACGAGCGTCCAGCCCTCGGATCCATCTCCTTGTCACCCCGCGCTGGCACCAGCGGCCACGTCCCCGCGGTGTCCCCTCCCCTTCCCACGGGGAAGATCCCAGGTATCGGCGGGGAACTGAGACGGGGCGCTCCGTGGAGGGACAGGCGGCGGTGCCGAGCCGGAGCCAGCGGTGGGAAGCGGGACACGGAGGGTGAGGGAGCAGGTCCGGGAAAGGCAGGGAGGGAAGCGGGCGGGATCGGTGCCGGGGAGGATCCAGCCGGGAGGTGACACCGCTGGGATGGTCGGGAGCGTCTGGAGGAGGGAGAGGCGGGATGGCAGCTCCCGGGTGGAGAGGCTGGAAGGGAATGGGACGAGGGGGTGCAGCGGGGACCTGGGGGGAGGGAGGGAGGGATGTGGGGAGCACGGATCCGACCTCCAGAGCCCCCGGTACCGCAGGGCCGAGCAGCAGGGACCCCCGAGCGCTGCAGCCCCCCGAGGAGCAGCGGCCCCCGAGCAGAGCAGCCCCCCGGGAAACAAAGACCCCCGAGCACCACAGACCCCAAGCACAACAGAGCCCTGAGCGCTGCAGACCCCCAAGGAATGCAGAGCCCCCGAGCAGCACAGACCCGAAACCACCTCCAGCCCCGTGACAGCCCCAAAGCACCGGAGCCCCCCTGAGCAGAAGCTGATGGTGGGACCACCCCAGCAGTCCCTGCTGCCCCCCGGGACTCCGTGTCCCCACGGGGGGGGTCCCCTGCCCCCCAACACTTACAGACCCCCCTCTCTGGGGCTATTTCGTGGGCAGCCCCACTGAGAGTCCGATGACCAGGGCGACTATCCCCAGCAAGAGCACGGCCACCACCACCAAAACCAGCAGCTTCTGGGGGGGGACAGGGGGACACGGGGGTGGTGACACCTGTGCCACGTGGGGGGACACCAGAGGGGGACACCGAGGGGTCCTGAAGAGCCAGAGATGCTGCAGAGCCCTGGGACAGGGCAGGAGGGGCTGAGCCCTCCCCAGCTCATCACACCTGAGGGGGGGACAGAGAGGGACAGAGCTACCCACCCCCATGGAGGTGACAAAGGGGGGAGTGGGGACCAGCGGGGGTCACTGGGGGGAGGTGGGAGTCATGGGGGACAGCTGAGGGACCACTGGGGGTGTCTGGGGGGGACAAGAGGTGACTGGGAGACACGAGGGTGGCTGGGGGGGACAAAGGGGTGGCTAGGGGACACAGCGGGGTCTCAGGGCTGCTGGAGGATATGGGGAGATGCTGGGAACACTGGGAGATGGGCAGGCACACTGAGGGCCGGAGGGGGACACTGGGGGTGCCCTGGGGACACTGCAGGCTATGGAGGGGACACCGGGAGACACCAGGGCCGTCGGTCCGTCTCACCCTCCTGGCCTCACTTTGGTACTTCACAGCCTTTTTGGTGTCAGCCACGGCCCTCTCCACAAATCCCACAGACTGGTCCATGTTGTTCTCGATGCGGTCAATCATGGATCCCTATGGAGCAGCGGGGGAGAGGGGACACTGAGAGCACCCAGGGGTGCTGGCACCCACCCACCTTGTGTGCCTTGCCCCAGTGTTTGTCCCTGCTCAGTCCCATGGCCCCATACACAGGTCCTTGTTTGTCCCTGCTCATCCCCATGCACAGGTCCCTGCTTGTCCCTGTGACCCACTGGACAGGTCCCTGTTTGTCCCTGCTTGTCCCCATGCCCAGATCCCTGCTCATCCCCATACACAGGTCCCTGCTCGTCCCCATGACCCCGTACACAGGTGGCTGCTTGTCCTTGTGACCCCATGCCCAGGTCCCTGCTCAGCCCTGTTAACCCCATACCCAGGCCCCTCCCTGCTTGTCCCTGTGACCCCGTGAGTCCCCCATGTGTCCCTGCTCATCCCTGGGTGCAACTCCCTGCTCGTCCCCACATGGGGGTCCCTGCTGGGCCCCACTGATCCCATGCCCAGGTCCCTGCTCGTCCCTGTGCCCCCATACACAGGTCCCTGCTTGTCCTTGTGTCCCCATGCCCAGGTCCCCGTTTGTCCCTGTGCCCCCAGGTCCCTGCTGGTCCCTGTGTCCCCAGGTCCCTGCTGGTCCCTGTGTCCCCATGCACAGGTCCCTATTTGTCCTTGTGACATGTCCCTGCTCATCTCCGTTTGTCCCCGTGCCCAGATCCCCGTTTGTCCCCGTGCCCCCAGGTCCCTGCTGGTGGCCATGCCCCCGCCGTGCCCGTGGCAGTGCCCCCGTGCCTGGTTCTCCACGAGCATGGCGATGTCCACGAACATGTCGTGGAGCTCCTTGATGCTGCTCTCCAGGCGCACGATGTCCTTGTGCCGCCCCTCGATCTCGCTCAGCGCCTGCTTCGAGATCTGCGAGTCCATGATCTGCAAACAGGGGCCAAAGGGGGGGAAATGTCAGCGGGGGGGAATCCGGCCCTGTCACCCACCCCGCCACCCTCCGTGTCCCCCCGTGTCCCCCGGCTCACCCCCGAGGTGAAGATGGAGGGGTTCCCGCTCTCCAGCATCTCCTCCAGCTCCTCGTCCGTGGTGTTCTTGCCGGCTGCGGGAACGTGGGAAGGGGTGGGGCTGGGCCACGCCCGTTTGGGGCGATGGGCGGGGTCTGTGTGGGGCTGGCTCCACCCACATTGCCAAAATGATGGGTGCCTTAGGGCCTGGCTCCAGGCTCTATCCCAAAGGGATGAGGCTTGTATGAAGTGTCCCACCCTATTCCCCGGAGGGGCGGGGTCTGTTTGCTCTAGTCCCACCCACTTTACCAAAGGAGGGGGGTCTTCAGGGGCCTGACAGCCCCCACAGTGCCGAAGAGAAGGGGTTTGTAGGGCCTGGCTCCACTCCCTTTACCAAAAGGGTGGGTCTTTTGGGGCGGACCCCACCCACTTTTACCATAGGGGCGTGGTCTGTAAGGACTGGCCCCTCCTACTTTACAAAAGGGGTGGGGTCTCGAGTGTCTGGCTCCTCCCACTTTTCCAAAAGGTCGGGGTCTGTATGGCCTGACTCCAGCCTCTTCCCAGAAGGGACGGGGTCTGTAGGGAACAGCCCCACCTCCCTTCCTAAATGCCCCCCCACCCCCCCCGGGGGTTGTGGTCGCTCACTGATCTCCAGCTGCCGCTGGATCCGGCCCTTGCTGCGCTCCCGGAAATCCACCTGCGCCTCGTTGTACTTGGTCATGACATCCACGAACTTGCGGGACAGGACCGAGTGCTGGGGACGGGGACAGGGGCACAGGGGTGGGGACACGCCAGACACGGTGCCTCCCCGCCCCCTGGGGACAGGGACACAGGGATGGGGTCACCCCAGACGTGGCATGTCCCAGCCCCAGGGAACAGGACTGGCTGCTGGGGATGGGGACAGGGAGTCAGACCAGTGACAATCTGGGCATGGCATGTCCCCAGCCTTGGGACATAGGGCAGGAGGAAGTGCTGGGGGTGGGAACAGTGACATGGGACACAGGACACCGAGGATGTGGCATGTCCGAGCCCAAGGGGGACAGGACAGAGTGCTGGGGACAGGGCAGAGGAACAGGAAGCCTTGGAGAACTGGGTGCTGCTGGGGACAGAGACAGGAGACTTGGGGACACCAGGACGTGCCACGTCCCCAGCCCGTGGGAGCACTCAGGACCTGGGGACGCTGGATGGGGACAGGGAATGGAGGCTTGGGGACACCTGGCCATGCCACATGCCCAGCTCACAGGGGACAGGGTGGCACAGGGCACTCAGGACCTGGGGACATGGGGTGGGGACAGCCCCAGCAGCGGCTCCCAGGGCCCGGAGCTCACCTGGGATTTGCGTATCCGGAGGTCGGCAGAGGATCGCGCCTCGTCCTGCTCAATGTTCCTCTCCATACCTGGAAAGAGCCGGATTCCAACCCGTCAGGGACCTTCCCCGCTGCCAGACCCTGCGATCCCAGTGTCCTCAGCACGGCCGTGGGGACGGGGACACCCAGGGCCACTCACTCTTCAGCTTGTTCCGGACGCTGTTGGCCATCTTCTTGATCTCCGCCGTCAGCTGCTCCAGGTCATCTTTGGTCTCTGCGGGATTGTGGAGGTGAGGAATGTCCCCAGGAAGGCTCCCTGTGACCCAGGGGACACTTGGGACGTTTGGGGACACTGTCAGCACACTCACTCTGCTCCGGGATGGGCGCTGAGAGGATGAGGCTGTACAGCTTCTTTGCTTCCTCCACGTTCTCCGAGATCTTGTCGATGTTCTGCCGGGTCTCCTCGATCTGGGCATGCCAGGAAGGATTTTGGGGGGGGTTAGGAGGCAGCCCTGTGCCCCCCAGCCCCTCTCCCAGCCCTCCCTCACCTCCGAGAAGAACTCATCCATGAAGGCCGTGTTGTCCACGGCGATCTCCAGCTCGTCCGCGTCGTCATCCGCGTCCTGCTTCTGTGGGACACAGCGCCCGGGGGTGACCCCCGCCCCGCCAGCGCCCCCAGGGACCCCCCCGGGGGGCCGGGGGACACGGGGGGAGCAGCCATGTGGATGTGGTGGCACCGGGGGGGGGGGGGGCCTGGGGGGGGGGGGGGGGGGCCGAGCTCCGCTCACATCTGGCCGGGAATTAAGGGATTGCTGGGCTTGGCTGGAGGGAGGGGACGGGAACGGCGACGGGATGGGGTTGGGACAAGGTTTGTGGCCCCAAACGTGGCCCCACGCGAGCAGCCGTGGGGGGCACAGAGGTGGCTGGTGTCCCTCGCCCCGGTGTCACGCCTGGACCCCCACCCGTGCGCCCCCAACTCCGCCCCATCCCAAAATCCCAATCCCAGTCCCTCCACCTCCCCTCGCCCCCCCTCGGCTCCGCCAGCACCCCGGGGGTGCTGTCGGGGTGTCCTGGGGAGGGGGCCAGACCCCCAGGAATGGACCACCCCCTGCCCCCCCCCACTCCCGCTGGAGTAAAAATAAAATTAATCCCTTCACTCCCCCCCGAGGGCTTTATCTGATGGCTCCATAATCCCGGTAAATCCCTGCCAAGCCTCCCTGCCACGGCGGGGGGCCGGGGGTGCAGCTCGGGGGGCTCCTGGGACCCCCACAACCCTTGGGGAGCCGACGCTGGGGAGCGGGGGGAGCCCCCCGGGGAAGGGGGGAAGTGGAGCCCCACGGCCAGGCAGGAAAAGGGATGAGGAAGCGGCGACGGTGACGGGAATGCGAGGGGCAGGATGGGGTGCTGGCACCCCCGGGCACCCCGGATTCAGTCCCACCCCCCCCGGGGGGTGGATCCCTGCCCTCCATGGCTTGGGTGGGTGTTGGTGTCCCCTCTTTGCACCCCACGGTGGGCAGGAGACGACAGGATTTGTCGAGGGGGCTGATGTCACCCCAAAATACCCGATGTACCCCCAAACCGCACAGGGCTGACCCCCCCAGTCCCTCTCACAAGACACCCCATTGCTGGGGGGCTCAGGGCCTCCCACTGACCGCGGAATGGGGCCTTGGGGACCCTCCTGACGCCCCCACACACCACGGGGTGGCACCTCGGTGACATCCGTCCCATGGTGTCCCCATCCACCGTCGACTTGGGTTTTGGGGTCCCCCATCTCTGTGACGCCCCCATCCATGATGGGGTGGGGTCTTGGGGACCCCCATCCCCGTGACATCCCCAGGCACCTTGGGACGGCCTCTCACTGACATCCCCCCCGTGATGCCCCCACCCACCGTGGACTCGGGTTTTGGGGTCCCCCCTCCCCGTGACGCTCCCACCCATTATGGGGTGGGGTCCTGGGGAGCCAGTCTCCCATTCCAGCGAGCCCTGGGGACCCCACGAGGTGTCCCCTGTCCCGGGGGGGTCCCTCTCTCACCGCCTTGAGCTGCTCCAGCCGGTCCTTCATGGTGCCCCCGAGGGCTGGGGGGGGCGCGGGGGGGGTCCCCGTCGTCGCCCACTGCCGGGATGGGGGTGTCACCCTCGGTGTCACCGCTCGGCCAGGCCTCCTACATCCAGGCGAGGTGTCGGGTGGCCCCGTCCCCTGTCCCCGAGCCCGGGGCTGTCCCTGCGCTAATCCCCAGTGACGGGCGCGGGGAAGGCGCCGAGGGGAGGGACGGGGAGGAGCCGCCCCTCACCTGGGACACCCGGGGACACCGGACACGCCACGGGCGACAGCTGGGGGTGGCCCCCGGGTCGCCCCGGGAGGTGACGGAGAGGTGGGGCAGGGATGTGGGGTGGCCCCGGTTTGGAGGCGCTGGGGAAGTTGGTCCCCACGGGGGTCACGCGGTGGCGACGACGTGTCATCCCTCGCCACGGGTGGCGGCGGCGGGAGGACGGCTGGGGGACTGGGGACACGGCTGGGGACACGGCTGGGGACAGGGGACATGGCTTGGGGACACAGATGAGGAGACATGGGGAGGAATAGGGACACAGCTGGGGGACAGAGCTGGGAAGGACGGACGTGGCTGGGAAGAGGGGACACGGCTGGGGGGACGCAGGCAGGAGTAGGGACACAGCTGTGGACGGGGACACAGGTGGGGACAGAGAACAGGGCTGGGGACACAGCTGGGGGGACATGCGTAGGGATAGGGACATAGCTGGGGACACAGCTGTGGATACAGGTGACAGCTGGGGGGACACAGCTGGAGACAGGACATAGCCGGGAATAGGGGACATTGCTGGGGACGCAGCGGGGGACACGGCTATGGATACCGGGCACAGCTGGGGAACGTGACTGGGGACAGGGGACGCTACTGGGGATAGGGGACAAGGGGGAGGGGGCATGGCTATGGAGGGGGGTCACAGGGGGGGGGGGACACATCCCGGGGGACACTGGCTGTGTATGAGGTGACCCCCGGGGGCACTGGCTGTGTATGAGGTGACCCCTGGGGGCACTGGCTGCGCGCTGAGGTGACACGTGGGTGACACAGCCGCCGGCCCCTTTAAGAGACACGAACACCCCGCGAGCTACGGGGGGCGTGACCAACCCAGACCACGCCCCCTCGCGCGCCGGCGGGCGGGGCGCGAGGGGCGGTGCCGGAGGGTGACGTCATGCGGCTGCGCCCGCGGCGGCGCATGCGCGGCGGGGCGCGGGGCCTGGTGGGGCGGCGCGGGGCCTGCGGGCGGGGGGCGCCGGCGCCGCCATGTTCCGGTACCCGGTGAGCGGGGGGGGCACCGGGGGGCACCACGGGGATGGAGGGGGCGGGGGCAGGCGAGGCGTGCGGTAGAACCGCGGCGGGGGAGGCCACCGCCGGAATGTAACGGGCTGGGGGGGCAGCGGCGGTGTGTAATGGGGAGGGGGGTTGAGGGGATGGGGAGGTCGTGAGGGAGGTGTGAAGGGGTGGGGGGGGTTGCTGGGGAGGTATAACGGGCTGAGAGGGGTCACCGGAGTGATCTAACGGGCTGGGGGGGGTCACCGTGTTGGTACGATGGGCTGGGAGGGGTCACTGGGGCTGTGTGATATGGGGAGGCACAGTGGGCTCGGCGGTGGGGTATGAGGGGCTGAGAGGGGTCGCCGGGCTGATATAACGGGTTGGGGGGGGACGCCGGGGACGTATAACGGGCCGGGGTGGGTCGCCGGGGAGGTAGAATGGGCTGGGAGGGTCATTGGGGAGCTATAAAGGGCTGTGGGGGCTGTGACGGGGTGGGGGGGTCACTGGGGCGGTGTAATGGGCTGGGGGGCTCACCAGGGAGGTGTAATGGGGCTGGGGGCCCTGTAACGGGCTGGGGGGTCACTAGGGTGGTGTAAGAGGCCGGGCAGGGGGGTTTCCCCTTGGCGTGGCCATCCCTTGGGATGAGAAACCACTGCTGAGCCCATTGCTGGTTTTTGGCCATGCCAGTCCCTGGAGGACTGCCCGCTGGACGAGGATGAGGACGCCTTCCAGGCCCTGGGGGAGGAGGATGAGGACATTGATCAGTTCAACGACGACACCTTTGGTGCCGGGGCTGTCGGTGAGACCCCCCAGGGGACCCCCCAGCCCTCTTGGTGTGACCCCCATATCCTCCCTGTATGTGACTCCGCCAGTGTGTCACACCCCGCCCAGTGTGACTCCGAAATCCCCTCTTGTGACCCCCGCTGCCCCCCTGTGTGTGACCCCCCCCAAATCCCTGTGGTGCGAGTACACATCTCGTGTCCCCGCGTGTCCCCTCAGATGACGACTGGCAGGAGGCCCATGAGCGGCTGGCAGAGCTGGAGGACAAGGGGGTGCCGAGCCGGGACGCGGACGGTCCGGCCGGGAATGACGGGGACGTGCTGGGCGATCCCGAGGACGCACTGGCCGAGAGGCTCACGCGCCTCGTCATCGAGGGCGACCTGGAGGACCCGGCCATCATGCAGGCCGTGCACACCAGGGGGCCCACCCAGGTGGGCTCAGGGGTCCGGGGTGGGGGGGGGCGCCCGGGGCTGGATCCTGCCGCCCCATCCTGACTGTCCATGCGCTTCCCAGCAGCCCGGAGCGCTGAATTCCAGCATCTGGGACAGCTCGGCCGTGCTGCGGCGCATCCGAGGGCCGCTCCTCACTCAGGTACGGGGGGGCTTCACCCAGTGTGTCCCCCCACCCAAAACCCTGTGGCGGCGAGGCAGGTGGGATAAGATGTGCTTGGGAAGCGCTTCCAGCTCTGCCTGGGATAGTGGAGTGTCCAATTTTCCTCACGCTGCGTCCGGGTGGATGTGGTGTGGCTCGTTGTAGACCCTCATAGTCATCACCTCTTGGAGGGATGGGATGGGGTGGGATGGGAGGTTGTGGCTGCTCCGGGATCCCTGGTGACATCTGAGGGATGTCAGGGCTCGTAGCAGGATTTGGGAATATTGGTGCCTCGAGGCAAAGGATTTTCATCTTCTGGTTTAATTAACAGTGAGGCTTTGAAGTGCTGCCTGACCAACCCTCTCCCAGCCCTGTCTCAGGCTGGGAAGTGACACAGAATTCCCACCACACACCCTGTCATCCCAAACGGGGCTATTAGGATCCCTGAGAGATCCCAGGAAAGCGCAGTGGGACAGGGAGAGCTGGCAGGAGGAGGGATGTGATGGGACACACTGTCCATGCCCCCTGTGCCAGTGTGTGATCCCAGGGGGTGTTCCCCTGGCAGGAGATGCCGTCAGTGTCCGTGCTGGATTACGCTCTGCCCCAGCGGCCTCCGCAGGCTCGGGAAGAGGAGCGGGACCCCTCGGAGCGGGCGCTGCCCCGGCGCTCCTCGTCTCCCATCATCGGGAGCCCCCCGGTGCGGGCCGTCCCCATCGGCACCCCCCCGAAACAGGCCGCCATCCCAAACTTCAACCAGCAGGTACCTCCCCGCTTCCCGTGGCTCCCGGGGATGCAGGATGCTTCCCAGGGAGTGACTGTGCCGCTTCCCTCTTCCCAGATTCTGTGTCCCAAGCCTGTCCATATCCGAGCTACCATGCAGCAGCGCTATCCCGCTCCCTACGGAGAGAGGATGTCCCCCAACCAGCTCTGCAACGTTCCGGTATCCAGCCCCTCCTCATCCCTCTTTTTTGGGGATTGACTTCCAGCCCCCCCCCCAAAATCCCCCAATGCCCCATTCCCGTGGCTCATCCCTGCTCCCTGGAGCCCGACCTGCCTGGCACACCTTCCTTGTCCCGTCTGTGACCGGGGCCCTCTTCCCACGTCTTTCCCCAGAACTCCTCCCTCCTGGGCCACCCGTTCCCCCACAGCGTCTCTCCCGTCCTCACCCACCTGCAGAGGGCCCAGCTGCTCGGAGGAGCCCAGGTAAAGCCCCTTCCCGCGTTTCTCCAGCCCCTCCACGGGCGGAATCTCCAGGATTTGGCTCTCCGTGGCTCTCTTCCCTCCGAATTCCCCCCCGGCTGACTCCAGGCACTCTCTCTCCCCCCCAGGCCGGCCGAATGTCCCCCAGCCAGTTTGCCCGGGTGTCCGGCCTGGTCGGGAGCCCCCTTCCCTCCGTGAATCCCAAGCTTCTCCAGGGCAGAGTCGGGCAGATGATGCCTCCGGCCGGAGGGTTCCGTGCCTTTTTTGGGGCTCCCCCCGCTCCGCCTCCCTCGCAGCTCCCGCACCCTCCAGGCCCCGGATCCCACCTGAGGTCGGTGCTGTCCCTTTCCTGGCCGCTTCCCGGCTCCCGATGCCCATCCCTGACTCCTCCTGCTCTTCCCAGGCCGCAGATGTTCCGACCGGACACGACCCACCTGCACCCGCAGCACCGGCGGCTCCTGCACCAGCGGCAGCAGCAGAGCCGGAAGTGAGTGCCGGGGGCTTGGATCGGGAATGCTGGGCGCAGGGACGTGTCCTGCTTCCGGGGTCACCTGTCCCCCCCTCTCTGTCCCTTCCTGTAGCTCCGGTGTGCTCACGGGTGCCCTTCTTCTCCTGCCAGCCAGCACCGGAGCCTCAACGGCTCCGGAGGGGACCGAGGGGGCCACCGGAGCAGCCATCAGGAGCAGATCCGTAAGGATCCCTATGCCAACCTCATGCTGCAGCGGGAGAAGGACTGGGTGTCCAAGATCCAGATGATGCAGCTGCAGAGCACTGATCCCTACCTGGATGACTATTACTACCAGGTATCTGGGAGCGGGAAGAATCCAGCTCGTTCGCAGCCTTAGGAAAATTGGGATCTTGCAGCGTGTTGGACATGGGTGGGGGATGTCAGGAAGGTGGAGGAACAGTGTGGGATCAGCATCCGCCTCCTCTTCTTGGTGAGATTTCCAAGGATTTGGAGATGCTGGGGGACACTGGCAGCGTGGATTCGGAGGTTTGGGATAACAGGAAAGCAGCTCTTCTTTGTCAGAAGAAAAAGAGACACAATAAAACCCTTGGAATGGCAGACAGAGAGGGTGCTAAATGGAAATTCAGCAGAGATCCGTAGGCTCTGGATGACTTTGGTCTGACTGGGAGTGCTGGTGATGAATCCTGCGGGGAGGTGAAGGTGGATAGGGTTAGATTGCTCCTGCTTTTTCCTAGTTCAGGAATAGGGAATGCCACACAGGGCTGGGAAGAGGCAGATTTGGAACAGGTGGAGCAAAGTGGTAGATGAGGGACAGTTTGAGGGTCCACAGGGGGAGAGAGA